GGAACGGATGGTTGTGAAAGAGTATGCATAATCTACAACATAAAATAATGTAATTAAATTGTCATTCCATCATTGGCCAATGTCTATTAAAATGTATTGTACTTTTATTGCGAAAGGCTGCCCAGGTCTTTTAACCAGAACTTTCTGATCTTTTCCAGTTCTTTTATCAGCTGAGCGTATACCTCTCTTTTTAGTGTCAGACCAGAAGACTCGATCATTGAAAACAGACACTGCAAAAGGACTTAGAGTTTCTGCCAATTGAAGAATCTAAAAGAATACAGTCATTCAAATTCAGACATTTCTTTCATTGCAAGTATTCACATGTGCTGATCAATGTAGACCTTGACATTGCCGCCATCCACAGAGGCAGACCCAATGCATCGCAGCTTCTCATCTGCCCAATAAAACCTGTCATCCAGTACATCAAAGGCCAAGCTGACAGGCCAACGCAAGCCTCTGCTCACTACCACCTTCCTGTTGGACCCATCCATTCCAGCCTGCTCAATCTGAGGAGTGCTACCTATCTCAGACCATAGCATCAGCCTGTAAAAGAATAAACAGCAGATCAAGACGTTTCATTTATGACTTCAGTGTAATATCTTACCCCTTGTGTGAAACCAACACAAGTGAACTGGGCTGCTCCAAATCAAGGACCACAGTGTAGTCCTTTTCCTTCACCGTAGAGTTGCTTAGTTTCACTGCCAGAATCTGTCCCAGCAAACCATCAACCCAATACATGTTTTTACCCACCCAGTCCACTGCGATTATTTCAGACTTCACTCCTGTAATATAACAGTTTACAACGCTAGTTAAAACACTACCACACCCTAAAACAACTCAGAACACTTACCTTTAACAAGTGTCCCTTTTTTGTTCATGTTGCTCATCTCAGCCCATCGTATTCCCTGATAATTAGAGCTAAGCCAGTAAATCTTGTTTTGAGCCCAGAGGTAGTCCAGAGAAAATACTGGTCGATTCGCTGATGACAGTACGCGTAAAGTGGCACTATGAAGACCCAGGATAATCATCTCAGACTGAACTGAGGCCAGAAGCAAAGGCTCATCTGCAAGGCATACTTTTACTCTTGGCCCTTTGAAAACTCTTTGAAAACACAAAAATCTGTTCACCTTCAGCCTTGCAGCTCATCTTGTTGGGTTCCAAGTAGAACCCAGGGTGACAGCGACAAACATAGGATCCTTGAGTGTTCATACAGATGTGCTTGCAAACTCCAGAGGACACACTACATTCATCAATGTCCGAGCAGGATAGACCATTGCGGTGAAGCTGAAAGCCTGGAGCACAGAAGCAACTCTGCAAAACAAATCCAAGACTAAGACTAGAAATGTGTACACACACAGGGATATGTCCATGTGTGATCCATCAACTCAAAGAAATTGGAATTTTTGCCCAACATTACAAATTAGTAGATTACTCTGGGGCAAGAATGGGTGCCTTTCTTTAGAGTTTTTCCCTCATCTATACAAGTTTCCTCTGGATGTTTCAGTGCATTTCAATTGTACATAACTTAATCCCACAAAGAACTATACTTACTAGACCAGAGGGTGTTCTCATACAGGTGTGCTCACATTTGGGAGCCAAAGAACTGGAGCACGTTCTTGTGGTGCAACTTGAGCCTTCATCTGAACCGTCAGCACAGTTTGCAACACCGTCGCACACATACTTGAGGTCAAGGCATTCACCACTCCCACACTTATACAGGTGAGAAGCACATTTTCTTTCACTGCCTATAGAAAAACACATATTACCCCCATGCAAAAACAGTTTTATACTTCATGCGTACAGTGGTCTTCATCTTTTCCATTCTCGCAGTCTTCCTTTCCATCACACCTCCAGGACGAAGGGATACACTGATTGTCTTTCTCACACTGCCACTGATATTCTTTGCATTTCACCAGGGCAGTTTTGCAGTTCTAAATGAGAGTATAGGCAATGAGCAGCTCTTCAAACAATTAAATTCCTTTTAATTCCAAACAGCTAACCTTTTCATCAGAACCATCTATGCAATCTTTCTCCCCATCACAGATCCATTCCTTTTGGAGGCACTCATGGCTGTTTGGGCAGCGGAGTTGTGTTGGACAATGTGGTGGTCTGGAGCAGTCCTTTTCATCCGAATGATCCTTACAGTCAGCATAACCATCACACCTCATTGCCTGAGAGACACACTGGCCACTTTGGCAGCGGTACTGGTCAGAAGCACAATTCACCACACCTGAAAGACATCATGAAATCACATAAATTCATCAATGTCAGTGGTTGAAAAGGACCACTTACCACACTTCATCTCGTCCGAGCCATCAGCGCAGTCCTTCTCACCATCACAAAGGAACGTATCAGGGACACATCGCGTATCGTTGTCACACCAGTGATGGCAGCCCTCACCAAACATCTTGCAATTCATTTCATCAGAGCGATCCTGGCAGTCCCTCTGACCATCACATACCTGATCCTTGGGAATGCATCTTTTGCCATGAGCGCACTGAAACTCATCTGAAGCATGAACAAGATTTGCAGTTCAAGTTTCCATCTTTTCACATTTATAGCTTTACAGTATTTCAAGATGACAAACTAGAAAATCTTAAAGGACAACTCAAATCCACTTTTTTTGCTGATAAACGGTATTAATGGGTGGTCTGCATATCCTGGTCATAATTTTGTCACTTTAGTGCAAATTAGTTGAAAGATCAACTTTCTAAAATCAGTGAGGCACCATCTGCAGGCGACCTGTATTTACTACATTTGACTTCAATCTGGCGCCACCATTGGCACAGCCGTGAAGGCTTGGGTTAGTTGCCCAGCCGCTCTCGTCTCGTTCACGCCCCCGTGGAGAGTTGATGAAAATACTCTACATGTATTCCTTCCCCAATTGTCAGGTTTGCAATTAGTTATAACATTTAGGGATATTTTTATTAGCATAGCTGTTTTTGTATTATAGATAATTGTGTAGTGTTAATAGCGTTGTTGAATATTGCAGTTTTAGTCATTAGTTGCTTTTATTGTTGGATTGGTTAGCGGAATTTAGCTCTGCCTCCTCCCTCTCAACCTCCGGTGAGGACGGGGGAGAGTCCTCCACCTTCCAAGACCGCACAGAAGCTGGCGTCGCTGTGATCTCTCCATCTTTATCATGGCCAAATCTGATGTCAAGTGTCAATCAAAGCCTAGACCCACCAACATTCAAGACTTTCACCATCGACTACCAGTCTACTGATGTGTCATTGGCAAAACACTTCACCCCCATTGCCTAGAATGAGTGGTGTGTGAATGGTTTGTAGTGGTCGGAGGGGCCAATGGCACATACGGATAGCCTCTCTTTTGTCAGTGTGCCCCAGGGTAGCTGTGGCTACCGTAGTATATCTACACCGTGTATGGAGTGAATAATAATGGCATGTAAAGAGTCTGAGTGTCCAAAAATGCGCTATATAAAACTGATTCATTATTAACACACTTGACACTAACCTGCTTTGCACTTAGTCACACAGGCCTCTTCATCAGAGCCATCTTTACAGTCCACCTCCCCATCGCACACATGGCTGTGCAAAACACACTCCAGGCCATCTTTGCACAACTGTAGTCCCAGATTACATTTTAAAGGTGGTGAAGTAGGACTGACTGTGCTAGATGAGGCTAAAATATTACAAAAAAACCGTAAGGAAGTTTTGGGCCATGCAACAATTTTGTTTTTAAAAAATAAAAATTGATGAACCAGCAGAAGATCAATAAAAATGGTTTACTTGTACAAAGTTTCTCATCTGAGCCATCTGCACAGTGAGAGCGCCCATCACACACTTTGTTTTGTGGGATGCATTTGATTCTATCGTGGCACAAGAAATCAGCTGAGGGCAATTACAACATTTTTAATAAAGTGTCTTTTAATTTGATTTGTGAAGATCATCTCGAACTCACCTGGGTGGTCACAGTGGAAAATGCAACCCTGTTCATCAAATCCATCTGGACAGTCGTCGTTCTCATCACAACGTTTGCTCTGAGAAATGCACAAAGTTGTGCCAGGGCAGAGGACTGATGGAGCGGTGCAGGGCAAGGGTGAAGCAGTCACTTCATCACCTGACCAAGATTAGAGCGTGTCACCAGATACCACATTCTTACCGTGTATTACAGGCACAGACAAACACTACTCACTACATCCCCGTTCATCAGAGCCATCAACACAGTCCTCCTCTCCATCACACAGCATCAGGTTGGGTATACACCGCTTTCCGTCAAGACAATGAAATTCACAGCTCTTTGTTTGTTTCTCGCAGTTAACTTCGTCGGAATGGTCAAGACAGTGGAGTCTGCCGTCGCACACTTGTGAGCTAAGAATGCACATTTTTCCATGGGCACACTGGAACTCCCCTTTAAAATACAAGAAACAGATTATCCTTTTTATATTTGCAGTTTAGTACGTCAATATGAAAATGTAATATAACCTTCTTTGCAGGTATTTTGACACAGTAGTTCATCAGAACCATCCTGACAGTCATCTTCTCCATCACATAAATGTCTCATCAAAACACACTGTAAGCCATCATTGCACAACTTTGAGCCGTGCGGACATTCGAGCCCTCCAGGTGTAGCTTGAGATAGTCTTTGACAATTGAACTCATCTGATCCATCGCCACAGTCTGCGTAACTATTACAAACCAGATCTTTCGCTACACATCTCAGAGAATCTTTGCAAAGAAAATCATCTGCAAGAAACAATTAAGAGCCATCACCATTTCTCGTGGTCAGCAAATCACAATTCTTACCTTTATTGGGGCATCTCTGTTCACAATTCTCATCGAAGCCACCAGGGCAATCCAATTTTCCATTGCAGAATTGTGTTGGGTGAATACATACAGACGATTCAGGACACCGGACCAAAGGACGAGCACATGAAAACTTCACCTCGCTCATTAAAACGGACCCTGATGATTTTAGTGAGCTGGTTTCAGCAGGGTCATCTATAATTCACAAAGGCACATCTCTGAACTTCAATTCAATCAACAACAGTCAATAAGTAACTCACCACATTGGTCCTCATCTGACCCATCACTACAGTCTGTATGTCCATCGCACACATGGCTGTAATTGACACACTCCAAGCCATCTGCACAGAGTTTGGAGCCCTGTTGACACTTTGGGGCGTTTAGACTGGAGGTTGGAACCACTACACCCTGGCAGTTCACTTCATCAGAGCCATCAACACAGTCCTCCTCTCCATCACACAGCATCAGGTTGGGTATACACCGCTTTCCGTCAAGACAATGAAATTCACAGCTCTTAGTTTGTTCACAGTTAACTTCGTCGGAATGGTCAAGGCAGTGGAGTCTGCCGTCGCACACTTGTGAGCTAAGAATGCACATTTTTCCATGGGCACACTGGAACTCTCCTTTAATTAAATACAAGAAACAGATTATCCTTTTTATATTTGCAGTTAAGTACATCAATATGAACAAACTATAATATAACCTTCTTTGCAGGTATTTTGACACAGTAGTTCATCAGAACCATCCTGACAGTCATCTTCTCCATCACATAAATGTCTCATCAAAACACACTGTAAGCCATCATTGCACAACTTTGAGCCGTGCGGACATTCGAGCCTTCCAGGTGTAGCTTGAGATAATCTTTGACAATTGAACTCATCTGATCCATCCTTACAGTCTGTATGTCCATCGCACACATGGCCGTAATTGACACACTCCAAGCCATCGGCACAGAGTTTGGAGCCCTGTTGACACTTTGGGGCGTTTAGACTGGAGGTTGGAACCACTACACTCTGGCAGTTCACTTCATCAGAGCCATCGACGCAATGAGTCTGACCGTCACAGAGCAGATCCTGAGACACACAGCTCAGGCGATCTTTGCAGAGGAAGTCACCTATTTGGAAAAGTAGGCATTTACCATTAAAAAAAAACATGAATATTAGAGCCAAACCAAGACACACCTTTGTATTGACATCGCTGGACACATTTCTCATCAGTTCCATCAGGACAATCTTTTCTCCCATCACAAAACTGTATTTGATGGATGCACACTGATGAACCAGGACACCGCACTGAAGGAGCTCTGCAGGTATCTGGATTTGGAGTCCAAGTATATGGCAAGGATTTCATTTTTTCTGGTCTTGTAGTAGTTTCTGGAGTATTAACAAATACAAAAAAAAAAAGCATGTTTCTAACAGTTCTGTTTTGATATAGCACTCGTCAGTTTGCCCTAGTGTTAAACTGCACAGGTTAGTGACCACTGTAACAGTGTTTGCAGACGTCTCAGTACAAATCAGGCTTCCTTTAGCTTCTGAAAGCTGACTGGATCAAGTTCCCACATTGAGGGGATGCATTTTCAATTTTATTTTGGCCACACTTGTAAAAGTCAAGGGAACTTTGGCTGCTTCTTGGAATGTTTTTTTTTTATTAGCTTTCCTCGCTTTGAAGAATGTTCAATAAGTATCAGTGATTTTCTAGTGGTTCTACATCACACAAACACAGGACCTTGAGATGGAATGTGCAGAATCCAAGCTGTACCCCAATGACAATCAAAACAAGTTTAGTAAGGTTCGGTGGTGAGCTTCAGTCTTTCTCAGAAGTCATTACCTTTGACTGTACTTCCGTCACCTACATCCAAATGCTTCAAAATCTATCCTTTCATCCATTTTCTTTCCCTTTGTCCATCCTGCAGGTAGCGAGTGAGCATTGCCTGAAGTCCCCGCTGAAAGATCAACTTTCATGCCCAAAGGTAGCCTGGCCTTAGCCATCCGTACACTCATTCAATCATCATTTCCCTGCATGTAATGTCTGGGTCTGGTCCCTGTGCTTGCGATTACATCAGTTGAATTCCACCTGACCAATCAGCGAGCGCGGGAGGTGGGTGTTGTAGGTAGATGTGGGTGATGTCAAGAGTTTGCGCCGAATGGGCAGGTTGTGGTTTGGCAATGGCGAAAAATGCGATAGTAAAGTATTTTGGTCTGGTTCAATGAAGATATTGACGAGTGACGAGTTGACTGTCGTCTAACGCAAAACTTGCCACGTTCTTTATTAACAGTTAAAAAGCCTTTCTGGGGCAGACTGTATTGAATGTAACGGTGGTCTAGTGGTTAAGATGCAGCACTCACAGCGCGGTGGGGTCCAGGTCCGAATCCGGGGAATAGCAGTATTATGGATTAAATTTTATATTATAATTGATTGCTCAAGAACGGTAAAAACAAGCTGTTTTTTGCAGATTAAAGCTAAGAGCCTAATCTTTAATTTAGACTATATAAACACTGAGGGTCAAATTAAAGATTAGATTTTGTAGGATTAATACACTTTGATAAGTAGTTTGTAATTAATTATAACATGAGTGTAGTGGACAAACTTATAAAAAGACATGCTAAATTATTTCTCATTTCTTTGTCACGATAAGTACTCACAATTTACTACGGTAGACTGTACAGTATGCCAGGCAGGACCCAGGCCTATCCATTTATTGTTAAAAATAAATGACCTACATTTCATTTATATTAATGTAAAGTAATAGATATTGCATTTTATCTTATCAAATATATATTTATACCTACTGTAATATAAACCTTTTTATGTGGTCTGTATCGGGGCCCCGGGGTACCCTTGGAACGACACTGCTCCCAACTAAAGCTCAATGGAGCACCTCCAGACCCTAGTACGGAATGTTATTTGTACAAAGGTGTGGTACGACCAGGCTAGCTCAAAGGCCAATGCTCCAACAACTGAACCACTTTCACCATCCACTTCAAAGCCCATCTTGTATTTTTCAATTTTTAATGTGCCAGTAGATTTTGAATAGTGTGCGCGTGCTCAAATCAAGACTAAATATTGTAGAAGAGAAGTTGCTCTCCACCAGATTATAACTTGAAAGCTACAGTGAGTACATTTCTACATACCACAGCCATCCTCATCAGATCCATCGGAGCAGTCCCTATGTCCATCACACTCATGGCTGTAGAGGACACACTCAGAACCATCTGCACATAATCTGGTTCCAAAGAGACATTTAAGTTTGTTTGGTAGAGGCGTATCAGTGAAACTTGGGCATTTCTTTTCATCCGAGGCATCAGAGCAATGAGCACGACCATCACAAACCAGATTCTGCGAAACACAGCTCCTACGATCTTTGCAGAGGAAGTCACCTTAAAAAGTAAATTATTAGTCTGTGGCCCAGTGCCAAGCTCACCTAAACCAAAGGACTAATATCCTTTTGTTTTTTTACAAGAGGTAAAAACACAAAAATGCTGGTTTAGTATCTACTTACTCATGTAGGGACATCTTCGTACACATTTCTCATCAAAGCCATCAGGACAGTCCCTTCTACCATCACAAATCTGCGTTTGCAGGACGCACACTGATGAACCAGGACAAAGTACTGAAGGGCTGCGACAGGATGGGGTTGTTTGAGTCTGTGTGAATGGTCGAGTAGATTGCATTTCATCAGGACTTCTTGTAGACGTCTCTAAAGAATATCAAAATAAGATGGCTGGTTACTATAGAATAATTTTACGATTTCACCTATATCCAAATGCTGCAAAATCTATAGACACATTAGAGATTGAAAAAAATACAAGACTGGCTTTGAATCCTGTCCATTTTTTTCCCCATTCAAAACAAGATTGTGGAGGAACAGTTGCTCACCGGATTATAACTAGATAGCTACAGTGAGTACATTTCTACATACCACAGCCTTCCTCATCAGATCCATCGGAGCAGTCCCTATGTCCATCACACTCATGGCTGTAGAGGACACACTCAGAACCATCTGCACATAGTCTGGTTCCATAGAGACATTTAAGTTTGTTTGGTGGAGGCGTAACAGTGAAATTTGGGCAGTTCTTTTCATCCGAGGCGTCAAAGCAATGAGCACGACCATCACAAACCAGATTCTGTGAAATACAGCTCCTACGATCTTTGCAGAGGTGGTCAGCTTAAATAAAATAAGATTGATGATTAGTCTGTTGCTTTGAGCAAATCAATTTACAGTTTGTAATAACTGAACACCGGACTGCCCTTTTTTCACCCACTCGATCTTAAACCCTTTTTAATTGCCTTTGAGACTCAATGGTACTTCACTTGGCATCATTCATTCTTTTTTACAGTGGTGGTAAAACTACTGCCAGGCTGCTATTAGTCTCTTCAACCACCATCACCACTCAAGCAAGACCCATTGTCTGGTTGCGTCTAAGGAAACAGTTTGGACCATTAAATCCATGGCGCTTTGTGTCCCCATACCAGTCCTGACCTAGCCTGGCCTTAGCCAGCCGTACACTCCGGTCAATCATCATTTTCCCGCATAACGTGTGGGTCTGGTCTCCGTTAGCGATTACAATTGCTTGAATTTCGACCAACCAATCAGAGCGCAGAAGGCGGGTGTTTAGATGTGGGTGACGTCAAGAGTTTGTGTCGAACGGGCAGATTGTAGTTTGGCAATGGCGAAGAATGTGATAGTAAAGTAATTCTGTCTGGTTCTATCAAGAAATTGAAGCCGGAGCAAGAAGAATGTTTAGCAAATGTAATTGCTGACAAAGATTGTGGCGCTACTCCCCACGGCCTCCGTTAGCGGCAAAGGAGATGGCTAAAGCTAGGCTAAATGCTAACGACTCACTCGGGCGCACTTACAGACATCACAGTAAACTCAGATCCAATCTGGAAAAGGAGTAAACCCCTCCCACCTGTTAACGGAGCTCAATGGAGCACCTCCAGACCTTAGTACGAAATGTAATTTGTGCTATGGGGTGGTACGACCAGGCTAGTCCTGACCAGCTCGTGCCCTGCTTAGCTTCTGAGGTCTGATGCATCAGGCTTTTACATGCAAGTGTGGCCACTTACTCATGTAGGGACATCTTTGTACACATTTCTCATCAGATCCATCAGGACAGTCCCTTCTACCATCACAAAACTGCGTTTGCAGGATGCACACAGATGAACCAGGACACAGGACTGAAGGGCTGCGACAGGATGGGGTTGTAGGTGGAGTCGGCTGTTCCTTTATTGGTAGATCCTTTTCCACAAAGACATGGGCGGGGTTTTCTGTAGAATTAGACATCTATATTAAATTTAGGTGTATACTTATCATTTGCAACCCCCAGACATTGCTCACCACATCCTTCCTCATCAGATCCATCAGTGCAGTCCCCCTGTCCATCGCAAACATGGCTGTAGAGGATGCACTGTGAACCGTCTGCACAGAGTTTGAAACCGTGTCGACACTTCAGGACGTTTGGTTTGGAAGTTGGAGCCACTAAACTCGGGCACTTCATTTCATCAGAGCCATCGATACAATGAGCCCGGCCGTCACAGCGCAGATCCTGAGACACACAGCTTCTACGATCTTTGCAGAGGAAGTCATCTGGATTTAAAAGACAATTAGTGGAATTCGAATCAAGGATATAGACAGGAGAATAATTGAAAGCCTTCCAATGTAATTACTCTTTGAAGCGCATCTTTTTATGCAATTATTTTCATCAAAACCATCAGGACAGTCTTTGAATCCATCACAAACTTGACTTGGGGAAATGCAGAGGAAAGTGGACTGAGGACAGGGTATGGAGGGGCTTTTGCATAGAGGTCTGGATTGAGGTTTTTGCGTTGAAGTTGAAACATCTGCATTCTGTGGTGGCACTGTAGGTACACACAAGTGTTACGAAAATGCATCATCGTCTTAGGATTTCATTTTTACAAACCTGCATTCAGTTCTTTGAGAGCTTGTATTACACCAATAACTTTGACTTTAACTTGTATAGACAGGATTGCTTTTCCGTCTCTGCGATCATAAAGGGTCATGGTGCTGTCAGATAACGACAATAGGAATGGCTCCAAAGCATAAACTACTGATCCTGTTATGTTCCATCGTTTACCCACAATATGAGTTCTGTCCCAAAACAAACTCATAGTTACCAATCCTGAAACAAAAATTGTGTAATTTCAGGCGTGAAATCAAAATCTCACATGAAACTTCTGCTTGAATGAATTACTTTGTTTATGCCGTAAAAATCATTAGCATACCTGCAGCATTTGAGTTCCAGAGAAGACTGTTGGCCCTCAGATCCAGGGCTGGGGTCCCAACAACTCCTCCCCCCAAGTGGAGCAAAGCTATAGGTTTACCTCCCATCACACTGATAGTGTAAATATGACCATCTTCGAGCCACAGGAGGCCGCCCCTAAGCCAATCCAAGTACAGCTGCTCAATCGGTCGTTGGGAGTCGTAGAGTTTCTGGGTGTATTTATGATCAGCGCTAATCAGGTTTATAGTCTTTTGATCACACGACACCCAATACAAGTTCCCACTTTTTTCATCCACTTTCATCAGGCAAACTAAGGAAGCAGGCATTAGAAAGATTATTTGAAATGTTTTTATATTATGCTTTAACATTTTAGATCAAACCTGGTAAAGAAGTTTGTATTAGTTCAGTCTTTTCTTGTGTCAGACTGGTGCGTTTCATATATCCAGTTTGGTTACCCCAATATAACCAGTCTCTGTACCAGTCCACATCAAATGTCAGAATGCCCTCATCAGTCATAAACAGCTGGACATCAGTGGCTTTTCCGTTTTTGAATTCTAAAAGGTTTACAGTGCGAATGGTCCCATAAACAACTCTTGGATCTAAATGATTAAATACAAGTGAGTATTTTAAGCATGCAACATCAAGAAGTGATAAAAGTGCAAAAAACGTACAGTCGCACATGCCAGTGGGCAGGAGTACTTTGGAGTTGGGGCAAACACATGTGTATCCAACAGTGGTGCTTTTGGTGAGAAGGCAAATCTCACAAGACGCTGCTCCACAAAGAGAAGCAGCTGCAACCGTGAAAAAAACAAGGAATATTAATAAGAGTGAGATTATAAACACTTCCTGACAAACAAACAGGAGCATGTGGTGAATTTGTTTGGCATTGCAAGCATGTAGCCATACAGAGTGGCATGGAGTACAGCACGGATTAGTTAACTTTTGCATCTAGTATTCCATTCATTTTTCACCAAGATGGGACGAGATGCGAGCTCACATTAGGCTCAAAGCTTTCTCCAGCTCGAGCCTAAAGAGTTCTCGAAGAATGTACATTAGTGATAAAGAGATCTACAATTTACATGTTAGAAGCCCTTGTAAACACTAAACGCATGCCATGTGTGATAAGTCTCATTACCTGCTGGTTGCTGTAGCTCGTGGAACACACTCATTAAAGGCAGAGGGTCTTTCCAGATGAGTTTCCTCTGCTTTGGTGTCGTCACAGGCGCCTGCCACACTCCCTTCTTATCACTCCAGTAGAAGAATTGTTCAAACACGGCAAGGCTCAGTGGAAGCCCTTTGTTAAACATTCCACGGATGGAAAATCTGCCATGACCATCCAACTTCACTGACTCTATAGACTGAACATTAGATGACAGAAAGAAAAACATTTTGATTATTATATACAAAAATGTGCATGGTCAAGTGGCTTTTCATACAATTTTTGAATATACAAATGTGTGTGTTAGTTTTTGTTTTGAGTATTCCACATTTGACAGGAGTTGGTGACACTGGGTGTGCGATAACTGGCCACTTTTTCATTTAGAGACCATTTAAAAAAAAATAATAATAATCTGTCTTAAGTATAAATTTACTTCAGATAGTTTCCTAGCTGGAAATGGATAGCCTAACAGGTGATTATGCCAAAGATTTTCTAAAAAATAAACAGCATTTATTTTCCCTTTGTGGTCCCAAACATTACTTCAGATACAGAGAGCACACACTCTTCTGGCTCTGATGTGCTTCATTGCTGGTGTTTAGGGAAGGGGCCAAACCAGCTGCATTCAATCATATAAACATTTGTCAGTTTTTGTTGTTTCGAGTTTCCAGTATTTGTGAAGAGTTTAATATTGAGATTCAAATGAGACTGCTTGATGAATTAAAAAAAAAAACTACCCAAAAATATTGACAGTAATCAATTATCACTTGTTTTAAAGCCACATAAACATTTATCAGAAAACTATACGACTTGTACATGTTAAGCTTGCACTTTGAAAAAGGGAGATTTAAAATAACAGCCCCAAAAAAGGTGCAGTATATCCAAAAATTTATATTGAAATCAAAATATAAACTTTACCTTCATGGAGTCACTGATCCAGTAGAGTCTCCGGGCAGCTACATCAGCGGTGAGGCTGTGTGCGGCCTGCGCACTGAGCACAGTCAGCGAGCTCCGGTCTGACCCATCCATCCAGGACTTCTCTATGGTTACCCGCTCACCTGGTCCAGCATTGACCCAGAACATCAAACTGCAAAATCAAACATTTTACAGAGAAAACTGATAATGCATTGTAATGCTTAGAATCCCTATTTTTATGATTCAAATGATTTAATTAAAGCAGTAAATCATGCAAACCTTTCAACCGGCAACAGCACCAAGTCTGATGGATTGACATTTTTGCTTAGGACAGTGGTGTAGCTTTTCCCTTCTCCCCCTTTCATGTAGATTCCAGCTGCATTTGTCCAATACAAATGTCCATTCATCCAATCACAAGCTAAACTTCGGATACCAGACTGACCTAGGGAAATCATAATACTCATAAATAAAAGAAAAACAAAACCATACCATATTTTGTTCGTTCACAGACCATTAATTATGATAGAGGTCCGTCTACCATCAGTCTTGTGAATACGTCCTTGGCTGTCAGCCCAGTAGTACACAGCCCGGGCCAAGTCATATGCCAAGGCCACAGGTTCCTTCACAGAAAACTGGACTGCTTCAAAGTGCCGAGATTTTACATCCAAAAGCCCAAGAGTGTTCCTCTGCACAGCTACAAGTCTTGTATTGTTGCCTTAAGAGAGTCAAGGTTATACATGAAAACTTTATATTCCTTTTAGACCATTATTGATGCATATTTAAGTTTGTGGCAAAACCTGTTGCTTGACATATGGAGCCTTTTGTCAGCGTGAATCCCTCTTGACATTGGCAATAGTATGACCCCAAAGTGTTGACGCAGACGTGTATACATGGCATGCGAGGCCGCAAGCACTCATTTACATCTGAAAAACAATGTATCTTGTTAATTCAAAATAAATTGTGCACTAGGAGAGAAAAAGCTTCACAAACCTATACACATGGCACCATCAAAGGACAATTCATATCCTGCTGGACAAGAACACATAACTCCCCAAGGTTCATTAGTGCAGGAATGACTGCAGCCTCCATTACTTCTAGAGCAAATACGTCCTAAGAGGAACAAATAAAAATGTTTATCAAGAACCATGTGCACTTTTAGTTTCTTTGGCTCACCACATGTAATGGGCTCATCTCTTCCATCAGCACAGTCAAATGTGCCATCACACCTCTTCTCCAGAGAAATACATTTTCCTTCAGGACACTTTATGCCTTCGTTGCACTGACCTATAAAATACAGTTCATAGATTCTTAACTTTGCTTTATAAATATTACGCTGTCCCAATACCAAATCTAGTAAATCTAAGATGTTGTAAATCAGGGGTCTCAATGTATATATACAAAATGTTTACTAATAAAATTAGGATGGCATATTGCGATTTTATCTTTTGCATACTTCAGTCAAAATTTAACCCTTGGGGCTTTGAGCAGATTGGCTCATTGCAGTCTTTTTAACTTCTGTCTGAAAAATCTGATGTAAAAGCTTATGTAAAAGAGTGAAAACCAGTGATGAGGAACATGTTAGATGAATTTTACATTTGTTGTGTTTTAAAAGTACTCCAGCTTTAAGAAGTGCTGCAGAAATCTTGTTTTAGATAAGACCAGATGAACTTTATTGATCTCACATTGGAAACATTTACATATCCATAGATTAGAAACTCAAGCAGTTATATTTAGCCTCACCACAATCTTGCTCGTCAGAATTATCCAAGCAGTCATTCTCTCCGTTGCAGCGTAGTTCCAGAGCGATGCACATGTTGTTGTTACAAGTCCACTCAGAGTCTAGGCAGCCAAGTTTGTGCTCACAGTTCTCCTCATCAAAACCTGTTGGACACTGCTTCTTCCCATCGCACCGTGCTGACATGTCTACACAATTCATAGAGTCAACACAAGAAAACTGGCCGCGTGGACAAGCGTGAGAGGCTGTGGAACAATACCATAACATGTTAATCTGAGAGTTAAAGCCTTTGGATTCAAATGAATGAGACCTACTGTCACAGTCAAATTCATCTGTCCCGTCAAGACAATCTCCTTCACCATCGCATCTCCACAAAGCAGAGATGCAGTTCCCATCATCACACTCCCACTGATCAGGGTGACAAGCAAGAATCTGGCTCACTGCAGAGATGTGAAGAGAAGACTTTTGGTATTAGGCCTTCTGATATAATGGCCAAAACGTAATCACTACAAGCAAATCAACAATTTTGGAAAGTCTTTTCTGATTTGACTGTAAACAATTTAATATAATAAAGTTTATGCCCCTGAAACAATGTATAGACGACATTCATTAGTTTAAACTTTGTGATTTGCTTTTTTCTGTACTGAAAATCAACAGCTTGATGGCGAGAAGAGCAAACGTGATTTTGCCGCTGAGCAAACTCATAAAAGCGTTTTCTTACCCGTGAAGAGCCTCAGCCTGAGTAGCAGGACCATCCAGAGGTGGTGCAGCTCCATGTTGCCCGGACACAATCAGCCGCAGCTGTTCGGAACTCTTTAATCAGCTCGCGCCCGGCCCGTAGCCCCGCGTCACCGCGCGCGCGGCGCGGACTGTCCTCTCTGAGCACGAGGATATGGCTTTGAATCTAACGAGAAAATTAGGGCACAATGGCATTCTAAACGTGTTTCAATAATCACAGCGACTCACTAGCACTTTATTTATTTTATTGTACACAACAAAACACATTTTTACATTCTCAAATGCACGTGGGCCTGATTTGCAGACCATATACAATCAAGATAAAAGTCACTTAAACAGATAAATATAAAACTGAATCTCTCATTCAGCCCATAGACTGCATATATTCAGCCACGAAGGATCTGTACGCAGAAAGTAAACATCTGGGTGGTGCATTTACAGTAAGTGTTCCCTTTAATATCAAAACATAAGAGCTGGTTGGAGCCAGAAGAACAAAATTGGTTTACTTTAATAAACTTTTTTATTGCACAAATATTTTTGTCTTTTGACTGATTGAGTTTGAATATCGTTTTCTTGGAGGATTGGATTCAACCACAACTGGCCAAACATGACAATATGTATTTGAAAACTGATAGTTAAATACAAATAAAAACTATGCATAAGCATTTTTCACACTTCATATTACATTTCAGTTCACATTTTAGAACAGATTCAATTGTAGGCAAGGCAAGTTTATTTGTATAGCACAATTCATACACAAGGCAAGATTAAAATTAAAAGAGCATTAAAATCATAAATAATCACAGTACATTAAAAAGAAACATACAAATATAAAATCCCTCAGTTGTAGCACAGCTAAACAGAACTGTTTTTAACCTGGTTTTAAACATTGTCAGAGAGGACGCCTGTCTCACATCTTCAGGAAGATAGTTCCAGATTTTAGCAGCATGAATCTGAAAAGCAGCCTCCCCATGTTTAGTTCTGACTCTGGGCACTAACAGGAGTCCAGTCCCTGTGCTCCTCAGAGTCCGGGCTGGTTCATATGGGACTAACATGTCACTAATATATTTTGGTGCGAGGCCATGGAGAGACTTGTAACAAGCAGAGCTGTTTTAAAGTCTATTCTCTGAGCCACAGGAAGCCAGTGCAGAGACCTGAGAACTGGACTAATGTGGTCGTACTTCCTGGTTCTAGTCAGCACTAATGTGGTCGTACAGTACTTCCTGGTTCTAGTCAGGACTGGAGCTGCTGCATTTTGAATGTACTGCAGCTGTTTTACAGCCTGTTTGGACAGACCTGTGAGCAGGCCATTGCAGTAGTCTAACCTACTGGTGACAAATGCATGGATAAGAATCTCCAAGTCTGCTTTAGACACTATGTTTTTGATCCTAGCAATGTTTTTTAGGTGGTAGAAAGCTGCTGATGTTACTGATTTGATGTGGCTATTAAAATTTAAGTCTGAGTCCAGTATTACCCCTAGATTTCTGACCTTGTTTGAAGGTTTTAGGGAGAGAGACTGTAGATGACAGATGACGCTCTCTCTTTGTTTCTGGGGACCAAAGACAATCATTTCAGTTTTGTCTGCGTTTAGCTGAAGGAAGTTGTTTTGCATCCACTCACTGATCTGTTGGATACAGTGAAGGAGTGAGTCCACTGGTCCATGTTCTCCAGCAGTCAGTGAGACATAGATCTGAGTGTCGTCTGCATAGTTGTGATAGGACACTTTGTTTCTGCGTATTAACTGACCTAACGGCAGCATGTAGAGATTGAACAGAAGAGGTCCCAGGATCGACCCCTGTGGTTCTCCACAGGTCAATTGTATGACTGTTTTCCTGAGAAAAGAAGAACATGCCATAGTGTCCCAACAAACAGTTACTTATATCACTAGTTCTTTTTGTGTCTGGTTTGACTTATTTCAGATCTCTAAAGCAACTTTTCCTGAAAAAAAAAATTAAATAAAGAATCAAAGAGTGAATTTCAGAGATTTTTTTTACAAGTAAGAATAATAATATGAACACTCTTTCTGTTGAGACCCAATTCAATACAATTTATTTGTGTATAGCCCTCACAGCATCAGTTATCTGCTGCTGTGAGGGCTATATTTACAAAGCTGTCAATCTGCCAATGCACACCAAACAGAATCAAACAGACTCCCATTCAAATACGGGAAATGCAGCAATAAAAAAACATAGAGCCATTGGTTCTTAAGGGGCGGATTACTAATGTCCATAAGTGCTGATAAAATTCATAGATTATGTTGAATGCCAAGTTTCCTGAATCATCACCACTGTCCTTAGACACTGCATTGGCAAGAAACAACTGTAAAAACCCAGTGAAGTAGTATTTATGAGGATAAAAAAGATAGTTACCTCAGCTTTAAACATGCTATTGTATCAAAAATCTGTCACTGTGTAATGTGGGATTACGGTGGCTGAGTGGATAGCACTCTCGCCTCTCAGCAAGAAGGTCCTGGGTTCGAATCCCGGTTGGACCAGGGCCTTTCTGAGTGGAGTTTGCATGTTCTCCCCGTGTCTGCGTAGGTTTCCTCCGGGTGCTCCGGTTTCCCCTACCACTAAAAATATGTACAATAGTTCTGGCATGTGCCTCCTGTACTGGCCCCCCACTCCCAAAAATAACAATTGTAAACAGCTTTGAGACTCCGATGTGCAGTGAAAAGGCGGTATATAAATAAAGATTACTTACTTACTTACTTATTCTTGTTTGTAAGGGGGATCATATTTGCAGAACCTTTACGTTTGAATGAAAATGTTTGGCTCTAAAGTTCAGTGCTGTGTGGGTGTTTGTCACTGGTATAAAACAAGTGTGAGGAGACTGGAGTGAAAAGCAGCACAATGGAGAATTCTGTGATCCTGCTTGGTCTTCTGGTGCTGGTCTGCTCCTGGACTCCATATGGACAGTGTGCTGAGGGGGACCAGGTATGGAGAGAAAGAACCCTAATGTGGCTTCGTGCAACAAATCGTACAATGGCAGACCTTTTTGTCGTCGATGTCATTGTGGATTAGTAAATTTAGCTTATGTAGTGGTAGGCCCTGCGTGCCCGGTGGCAGCCTATTGCGTGCAGTCTCCTCCCTTTTAAAAGGAGGATGGATCACCTGCACCATCTCTTTGCCCGCCTCTGACGTCACCGTTGTCCCAGGAGCAGTGAGCTGCACAGCGTGGAGTCTGGCTCCACAGCTTGGACAAACACAGTTGCCGGCCCTAAAGCTGGCATTCGCGCTTCATATTGAGCTCACAACTAGTAAGTACAGTGCCATTCCCCTTCAATTGTCTCCTTATCCATCCTGCTTTATATAAAATACTTTACGCTCCCCGCAGCGCTCTGTGCGTGGCGTCTTGCAGGGTCAACTGAGGACACCTCCCGCATGTTTGGTGTGCGTGTTGTCACATACCATTACGGTAAGCTGGTGTGTGCCGCGTATCCGCCCATTAACATATACTTTCCAAACCTAGTGTTAACTAAGCGCTCTTTATAAGGTGGGGCACCCGGTTCTACGCGCCTCCTGCGCTGGGTCTCTAGGTGAGCGCTTCACGCAGAGGATTCATGGTGCGTATTTTCCCGGCTCCTGAGCTGCTACGTGGGGTTTTACCTGTACTGTAAATTCTAAATTGTCACTTCTTTTAGGTCCAGTCTTCTCGAGCCTCTCCTTTTCTCTTCTCCTGAGTTGCCTTGGCTCATGTTTTCCTGGTGTCCATACAGTGTGGTCCATTTAGTAGCCATCAGTTAAAGGAGGCGCCTGGAACTTTTGAAATAGCTGCTGTGAGTTTGCACAAAAGCACATGTAAGCAACTACGCACTTTAAAACAAGTTAATCTGGGGTCATTGTGTTTGTTTTGTGTACTGTGCACTGCATTTTAAAAACTATTTTAATCATGAACTTAAGTGACTGTTAATATCAAATAAATGTTGTAAACCTTTTTCTAATTCTGTCTCTGTCCCTCAGTTACTTACCTGTGTTAGCCGTAATCCTTTATTTTTTATTTTCCCTTCGGGGTGGCGTTGTTGGCAACAAACCAGTATTTAAAATTATCCACCAGTATATCACAGCCCTCGCACCACACTTAGAACGAAACTTACACTCATTTATTGCAGCACTGATGTGGAAATGACAAGTTTTTGAGGTTATTTTTAACAATCTATCTAACATTCTCACTAACAATGCAATAACATTTTTTGATAGACGTTTAAAAAAGTCTATTTTGTTCAGAGAAAAAATAACAAGCGATTGCCTCATTCACAATTGTTCTAACCTGTAGTACAGACAGTACAGTGAAAACAAATGTATTGAAAAAAATACACAAAAACCCTCAAATCGTTTTTATATCTTCTCACATTGGCTTCACACTTGTTTGAGACATTTTTAAAACAAATCAAGAGAAAATATTCTTTACGTCAAGTGACTGTCATTTAGTCCCTTATTCATTTGCAAAGAACTTAGATAAATCCAGTCTTTGTGTATTCTGATGTAAGATGTTCGATTAATTGTTTTTCTTTGTAAAGAATCTGAGACCTCCCTTTGCGCTCATTTCCAACTTGCACGGCCCACATCTCAGGAGTTCATTAATAAAAGTCAATTGTTGTGCTTTTACAGAATGTGGATCAGAAAACTCCCCCTCCTCAAAATTACACAGGTAAAAATATTTGTAAATAGAACACATGGTGAAACTAGGGCAAATATCATTGCTAGATTGTTTATTTATGGGTGTATATTTTCATGTGTAAGTATATGTTGTAAGCACAGTAGGCATTGTCTACAAAATGACATGTAAACTAAGGAATGTAGATATTGTAAATACTTATGAATGTAAAATGTCTACTCGATCAATTCTATTTTTTCTTGCTCAGTTCCAGAATGCAGTAGACATGTTTACAACTGAACAACTGTTATATACTTTGACATTTCAGCTGCTGGGTTATAATGACCCTATTTCAACCAGGATTGTCCTTGATAACTTGTGTCTGTTTTTGTAGGAGTCTGTAGTTTAGCTCCTGAGGCTGTATGCAGAGCGTACATGCCCATGTATTTCTACAACACTACCTCTGGACGATGTGAGATATTCATATATGGAGGCTGTCAAGGCAACGCAAACAAGTTCAAATCTTTAACTACTTGTCAGATATATTGTCGTGCTGCTCCTTAACTCAATTCAACAGGTGAATTTCTAATATTTTATGCACATTAAAGTCAGAAAGTGCAGAACAATTTACCAGTGTCTTCTTCTGTGCATCAGAGGTTTGTCGGCTTCCCCCAGAGACAGGGCCGTGTAGAGCAAGTATCTACAAACTTTACTACAACCCAGAGATGCAGAGACGTGAGCCCTTTCTCTACAGCGGTTGTCAAGGCAACGCCAACCACTTTGACTCTGTTGAAGCGTGTCAGTATCTGTGTCATCCCGAGGGCAGCGACGAGGTGAGCCCCGTGGGATATACTGCTCATCAAATGCCTCCAGTACAGAGAGATTTCACCTGTGTTTTTTTATACTGTAGAATACTGCCGCCCAAACTACAACAAGCAGAAGAAGGTCTGACAAAGGTACAAGTGAAGAAGCAGCTCTCCCATATGTTCAGAGGAGGAAATGAAATGCGTTATTCTTCTCTTTTATGTTTTAGGATGCACGGATCTTTCCAATTGTCCCTGGATTCGCATCCCTGTCGGAACAGATTCACTGAGTGCAGTTTGCATGTTCTCCCCATGTCTGCGTAGGTTTCCATTGGGTGCCCCTACCACTAAAAACGTACAGTATAATAGTCTGGCTAACCCTAACCCTTCACACATGGAGGCTGTCCAGGAAATCAGAAAAACTTTATAATCATGTAAAAGGGTTAGGGATGTCATAATGCAATACAAAAACTTGAACTGATTTCTTTGTGTGATGTAATCCTCCCATTCAGCCAAGACCTTCCTTCCTTCAAGTGCTTTTACGGCCTAATCTATGATGTGAAAATGTATTTAATTGCAGAATAAAGAATTTAAAAACATATGTCTCTATCAGAGTTTTGTAATCTGAATAGTAAAATTGTCAGCCCCAACTAAAAGTCTTAATTTATCACATGCCCTGCCCAAATTATGCAACATGATTTTCTTTTTGTGAAGGATTCTGTATAAGCCTTTCTCTAAAAACAAATGATAACTAAAATACTTTGTTTCTCTATTAGTCTCACAAAGTGTAAACAAAGCTCCTTTTGACTACTTGTATCAAATCTATTGCAATCAGTCTTTTTGGTCTACTCAATACAATGTATTCTTGAACCGCCCTGTATCTCAACAGTCATTATCTCAGAGGAAGTTACCACACACCAGTATCACAGTTCAAACACAGAAATGCAATGATAAAAACACATCGAGACATTGGTTCACGATGACAGAGTGTCCTGGATCAACAATCCATGTATCTCTAAACAGTTTTGTTCAATCAGTAATTTTCAGTGCCCTCACTCAGACATGACTCACAGTGGTCTTTCTCACAAGTTCACTTTCTAATGAGACAAAGATGAGATCTTTTTTGTTCAAGTTTATTATATACATGTGAGACGGGGAGTAGGGGTAAGGGCTACATGAGAATACACTGTATATACACTTAGTTTACTTTCTCCAAGATTTACTTTATTGTATTGAAGTTCACTTCACTTCTCCGTTACTTTTCAGAAAGTCTCCAACATTTCTCAAATGAGACACAACCATATAAACAGTGTGAAGAAAAACTAGATATTGCTATATAAATTATTTAATAGTTTGCAGACATTATTTGAGATATTTTTGTGACCATTTTAATCTTATAGAAAAGTTAACATGTTTTAAATATGAATATTATTACACACTTAAATGGAATTGTTAAAAGTTTCAAGTATAGCTAAACAAAATTAATCAAGTTACTTCAAATACTTCAGATAACATGTATTTGGTGTATTTTTGTTAAAAAAAAAAAAAACAGGCCCACTACATGCTGCTCACACATCCTGACCTAGAGCAAACACTTGAAAGGGAATTTATCTAAGATCATTTTTCAAAAGACACAAATCTGTGCACCTTACACTTTCTGCCCTTTGTTCTCATCCTTTGAGGTCAAAAGTCTTTGTTTTATGAATGAGCTGCAAATTGGACCAATTAAGCAGAAGGCCACTTAAAAGAAAAAAAGAACCTATCTTAAAAGGCTTCGGCTATAACCTATAATAATAATAATAATAATAATTGGTTCATCTATCAACAATGTCTTAAGATTTGCACGTCTAAAACATGAACAATATGTTAGTATGGCCCATTATTGTGGAGTTGCACAAAAGCCTTTACAGTTCTGTACAGAGTCAAGTTTGATCAAGATGGATATGTCTATTATATTTGTTATTGCAAGAATATTATCCTTATTATACAATTTATGTTGCAAAGCACTTTCAATTACTTACTGTACTAGTTGTTTGCAGTTGTAGGTCATTCTTATAATGAGGGTTATCTTCGTCCCATATTTCCAAAAGGCCCGGGAAAGGGCATGGTTTCTGATTAAGCCCCAATTAATCAGAGCTAATCTGCTTAGCAAATATTATTGTCATGAGTTGGGACTAAAGCCTATCTCACACGCGCAGAGTGACGGCCGTATTCACTTTTCACACCTCTCAACTACAAAGACAAATTGGTTTCGACCCATAAGCGCAGCGGCTCTATGATGGATCACACACGCCCTGACACTCGGTCACTTCAAAGGCCGCCGACGGCCCGCTGCAGCCCGGATATAAGAGCGCTCCACGGCCCTGTTCTGCAGAGCGTGACGCGCATCTGCACAGACCACAGCGACGAGAGAGGAATACAGCCAGGAAACACGATGGATCTATCTTTTGCCCTCTTAAAACTGTTGGTAACTTTAGTTGTAGTTTCGGGGGCACCGCGTTTCTCAGGACTCCATCCAAACATGGTCCTGCGAGACAGAAGTGCGCGGTCCCGGCATCAGTCCACGCGTCTCCCGCTGTACATGATGCAGCTGTACCGCACCATGCTGACCGAGGACCAAGCCAACAGCCCGGACATTGCCGACCCTGAAGAGGACAATCCGGGCCTGCACGACTCAGACTCGGTCACCAGCCTCATAGCGAAAAGTACGTATGTTTAATTGATTATATTTTGATTATAATTTGAATTTTATTGCATTCAATTTTGTCATCCATTATTGATCTGCAATAAATTAGAAATCCTACTTTATTACAGTCAAATCAATCAAGCCAATAGTGGGAGGGGCAGGGGGATTAGCAGAATGATTGAATCTAATTAAGTCAACTGAAACTATGGTTCACACATATAGGCCAAGAACTTGTGTCTAATCATTTGTCTTTTTAATTCTAATTTACAGGTTGTCAGCAGATTGGAAACCACTGGTCAGTGAACTTCGACATGTCTTCAATATCTGGTAGTAACAAGGTCCGGCTGGCCGAGCTCCGAATCCGCCTCCCTGCCTTCAGCCGGTCCTCCCATGCTTATCTGGACGTCCATCACCAGTGCATGGGGCCAAACTGCTCCAAAGAGCCTTTGTTTCTGGGAAGAGTCCAGGCTAAGCCAAGCTCCATGCAGTCCCCGTCTTCCTGGAAGATATTCAACATTACTGAGCTGCTCTTGGGATGGGTTCAAGTCGGACCCCCATCCAGACCACAGGAAGACACTGCAGGGAACACAGAGATGGTCCATCACAGCACCACGGACAGAGTCATGATGGTGGTCTTCACCAGACAGAGCCCCAGCGGCCACAGCGAGCCCACCCTCATCCACACAGCCGAACACTCCAAGTATGTCCAGCTGGACAGCAGCTCCAAGAGACGAGGACGAAGAAAGAGGCACCAGGAGAACAACCAGAACCACCACCATCAGAGTATAGTAGCAGGATTCGCTCCTAACAAGACCGCTGAAGGCAAGACAGGCCCCCTGTGCAGGAAGGTGGACATGTGGGTGGACTTTGAGAAGCTTGGCTGGAGTGAGTGGATTGTGTATCCAAAACGCTACAATGCATTCCGGTGTGAAGGCAGCTGCCCTACTCCTGTGGATGAAACGTTTACTCCGACCAATCACGCCTACATGCAGGTAAGAATCATTTCATCACAATAATGACCCTATTGTACATTCTATCATTTGGAATAACCTTTTCTCTCTTTGCAGAGCCTTGTGAGACTTCACCATCCGAACAAAGTGCCATGTGTGTCATGTGTCCCCACTCGCCTGGCGTCCCTCTCCATGCTCTACTTTGAGGACGGGAACATGGTGATGAGGCATCACGAGAACATGATTGTGGAGGAGTGTGGCTGCCACTGAAATCACCAGTGGAAAATTATTCAAATGCACTTGACAGAAATGTCCACTCAGGGCAGTGGCATCTTCTGTGATCAGACAATGCTCAAGGGCTACTGGCTGCTTTTGCCAATCTGGTTCATTGTGTCATGCTCACAATGCAAAAGAACTGTAAATGAACTGCAAGTGAGAGTTTAGAGTTATCTATCAACATTATTGATGGACAACTGGTTATAATGTAACATGGAAGAATGACAATTGATTTTAGCACTGTAAATTTGTATTTTTGACAAAATGTAAGCTATTTGGGTCATATTGACCTTATGTGTATAAAATATTGATGCAATAAATTATCTAACTGGTTCTAATTGTTCACTTGTTTGTTTGGTTAGCAAGAAGGATGAGATTTATTGTCTTATTTTTATATTTATTGTTAGCTTTAGAAAAACAAAAACAACACAATAGCACTCTGCAGCATTATGTCAATGTACAGCAGCAGACACTGATGAAACATTCTATCTCCAATGAAAAAAGGGAACTCAATTACAGCAGTATTCCAACAGAACTAAGAAAGTATCCTGTATTCTTACTCACATATATCAAAATGTTTTTTTTTGTATACGATATGAATGAAAAAGGCATAAAGGTATTCAGCTTCCTAAATTGAATGGCTTCGTTTCCGGATGGTGCCACTGTGAGGACAGAGCAGTACAAAAAAACGTCACATAATGATTTGAGCTAAACTGGGCTTCACACTGCCCCATTCACGTGGGTAAACATTCAGTAATAATAAACAGTTTTCAAGTGATGAGATTCCGATAGCAGCCTCTCAGATTCAGATGTCCATTTCAAACTGGGCCTCTTCTGCTGTGAACAAAACAGATGGATACACTTTTAGAAAACAGTACAAAACAGTCCAACATTTCAGGTACATTTTCTAATTTAATCCAAACAAATTGCAGTTTTATTTGGCTAGATCTAAGGCTGTATATTTTGTTTGATCAATTAGATCAGATTCATTTTGTTTGCCAATTTCAGTAAAACCACATTGGAATAAATTTGCAAAGGTTCCCAGTGTTACACATTGTTACACATTGGGAAAAACTGTAGTTATTTAATACTGCAATCATTATAGATTTCTTGTAGTCTTAAAAACTCTTCTCAGCATAGTTTATGTAAGGTAAAAAAAATAAAATAACCTTGATTCATTAATTAGTCAAATTAGTTGACAACTATTTCAATGTGATATAAGACAATAACAATGCTAATTTGTTATTGTGTGAAAAAAAGTTATACAATTACATTCAAGGGTTTACAAGAATCCCATATGAAATAACATCAGTGGTTTTCTAACGTTGCATTAAGGTGTTGTTTATTGTCTGTACCTGCAGGTTCATCCTCCTCCTGGATCAGATCATGATTGTTGTTGACAGGGGGCTCAGAGTCGGGCTTGATGGGGCGGGTAACTCCTGGGATGTCAGGCAAACTGGGAGGGGTCCGGGTCAGAGGTGAGCTCCGGCACTGCAGCAGGAACTTACGGTCATAGATGATTCTGGTTCCTAACAAAGCGGAAAGTTGAAGTAGTGTGTGAACCAAATCATAATCATGATATATCAAAACAGATATAATGTAAATTGGATATGAATGAAAATATTATATTTGATATTGAATAAAACTCAAAATGACACATTTAGTGGTCATGTTACAGTGTTGCATGAGGGTTAGGTGCACAGACGCCTCCATGACCCAGCTCCGGATAAAGTGGAAGATAATGGATGGCTCGACAACAGTCAAACTTTTGGCTTTGACACTTTTTGTTGAATAAATATTATATTTTGTTGTGCCAGGAGAACGGGTCATCTGAAGGAGTTTAAGACAAACATAGATATCATATTCATACATAAGACAGACCCCTGTGTTGTTTACTTTCTGAAAAACCTGTGAGTTAGGTACCACAGGTTTAATTTAAGTCATCATAATCATTATATTATGGTTGATATTTTATAAATCCTTGATCATATATTAGAAATCATATATCACTGGATTCTGTGTAGCTACATGTGCCATATTCCCAGCCTGTATCTCCCAGGTTCACAGCTGTTGACCCATTTTTTTTTTCAGAGCCATATATGTCATAGTCTGTAGAGGTGTCTACATTCTTCTAACTCACTAACCATCAGTACAAGACTGGATTTGTTTAACATGCATGTCAGATTCTCATACTTCCATTTCTGAAGTTGCAAAAGTTAAACTAAGTTGCACTTCTTAGTCAATTAATCAGTAAACTGTAAAACTAATTTGTGTTAGATTAATTACATAACATACTGATTGTGGCCCTAGTATCTTGAATGATAAGATTATATATTGTAACCCAAATTACGTCACTGTCTTACAAGCACAATACAAAATGACAATCCAGGGCCCAGACCACTCTGAAAGATGAATATGACAGAACTGGTAAAACGTTGAAATGGCTAAATATATTTCAACAAGTTTATTTTGAATAGTTCATTATTATTTGAACGCAATTCACCAAAATACAGACTTAATACTAAAATGAAACCCATTAACCGAGTGTCACTATTATTATGACACACATTTAGATGTTTTCGAAATGTCTTCAGACGGCACGTGATTGTTTTCGTGAGTAGCAGCTGTCGTTTGACGGACACAGCAGTGGACAATACTCCGCCTGTCACTACTACTAGTCTTGCTTCATAAGTTACGCTAGACGTAGGAGCCATGTTGTCTGCACTACATGTATAAATGCATATGTGTCACAGGCCCATAAGGATCATAAATGTCATGAAGCTCGAGCTCAGAACTGCACATACCTCCAGGCGTGGTGCTGAACAGGGTCCCTCCCGGGGTCGTGGAATAGTCCTGGGGCATGTGGGCTGCATCGTGAATGGCCACCCGCCTCACGGCCGGAATGTCCCGGCATCTGGTGCTCTGGCTGCCCGCTGACATCTCAACAACACCGCGCTGAAGGCAAAAGCTTCGCGGATACGAAAAGGCGACGTGCAGAGTAGCAGAAGCTGTCTACTCTCTATGGTGCGAACACGTGGTCCCAGCAAATCCAAAACAACAAGCACTTCCTCCTCAGCACGGGCAGCCGAGCGCTGATTGGCTTAGGCCGGGGGCGTCACACTGGAACTAGTACGACTAACTTACTTTGTTTTATTTTTTACATTTAAAATGGGATTATATCTCTGTTTAATCTGGTTGTTTATCCTGTTTCAATACATTTGAAAATTTATCTCTGTTGTATTTTTTGTAAATAAAAAAATAAAGCCGTTACATAAACGGTTGTTTACAATAATCATTTAACATAATAATGTATACATATATATAAATATACATCACAATTCGGTCAAGTGTCTAATTCTTGTCATCATAATCATCATTAAAGACGTATTATTTTAAAACATAAAATAAAAAAGTTATAATTTGTGGGTAACTAAATAAATAAACAAATCTAGAGAAAAAAACAAGGACAATTAAAGCCTATGTTATGGAGTACAACCCCCCAAGCATCACAGTAGAATTCAAGTATGTCACATGTTTGTTTATTCATTTATGCAAATGTATTGAGCTGGTGAACAGGGTAGAGATGATCTATACATTTTGAGTCGGAGCGGTTCTGATTTAAAGGCTTGTATTTATATTCACTGTTGTTCCTCTTCTCTTAGGGGGCATACAAAAGGAAAGAAAAAAACAAGTGGTCTTGGCTACAAAGCCTCTACATGCCCCAGGATGAAGGCGTATGCTTGGACTACATAATGCTTAAAGAACACCAGAACAGCTATATGAGGTGCATAGCATTCTAATTAAATATATATATTTTTGGATCATATATTTATACATACATTTTCATAAAAACATTTTTTGTGCATGTGCGCAGTTGCATTCTTTAGGATAAACTAATATGATATTGCGTTACATCTTCATGTAGTATCTGTTCTAAAGGAGTATAGGTAAACTTCTTTTCACAATTCAAAATGGTACAATGCTCAGTAGGTTAATCTTTGAATGTCACCTTTGACATGTACATAGCTCAGTCACACAATAACCTCAGGGGTTCTAAATATAGAGAGGGACATGAATCCAATCGTTACTTTTGAAAATGAGATAAAAAATAAATTTATAGTAGTAGTCAAAGTGACAAGAAACCTTTTGCTGATAACAATAGTAATTCAGACCATTAAGTACTGCTGTATATATTCTTTTATTTGATATTTAATTTTGTCTTGATTCTTGTCGACTCCACCCACTTCACACTCTTGTAAAACCTTTTTTAAGGCATAAACAAAAATATTAACAAGTAGGGTATTTCAATGCAGAATTTTTTCTTAGTTACTCTCGGTCACTGAAGGAATAGTTAACACTTTTTCCAGAGTGAGAAAATGACAAGAAACAATCATCTTATATGAAATAAAAAAAAATAAAAAAAAAAACACACTTCAGATGCTGTATTTGTGTTTTTATGAGACGTCAGCTTTTGTCTAACTGTGCAAAAATTGACTTGCAGTAAAATCTACACATTCATCCTCCACACGTCACACTTTATGGGATCTCGTCTCTGAGAAGACTTGAAGAAACTAAGCAAAACTCCAGACTGTGCAAAACTCAAAAGACCTGAGTGGAGTAACAGTGGAAAACGTGTGATATGTCGCGAATGTGCCATAATCTAAGTGCACGTCATTCGTCGTGTCATTCATTCAGGCTACAATAGCGTTTACAGTACTCCTGTAGAAAAGCAAGATGACAAAGACGGCGTGCTACCATGAAGTGACCCCTGGGTGCTGCCTCTGGGAAAAGGAAGGGCTCTGCATAAGGAGGGCAAGACACAACTTAACATGCATGATGACAATATGAAAAACTATACGCTAATTCTTAAAAAATCTCAAAACAATAAACATATATATAAATATTCTGTTTCCCTCTTTAAGCAGCAGTATTTCCTGGTTGCTTGTTGGCTACGTTTGTGCTGAAAGACAAATATTTCACAGTCTCAAACCATATCGCTGCCACATCGATATTCAATCCTTATATTTTCAAATATCAATTATAATTTCCCTGTTATTGCTGAGTTCAAACTGTATAAACCAAAACATGTCTTGAGAAATCTCAGGCATCTACTTCTTCCTGTCCATTAATGGTCACCAATTTTACTAGGAACATTTAAAGTAAAATCTGCAGCCATTTTCACTTTTTCTCTAATGACACGGAGACCGCGGACAACATTTAATATTTATAAAAATGTGTAAATTTGACAAATCCTGTGACGACAGATGATGAAACAGTTTAGTTTGGTGTTTCGATTATATTATTAAACTACCACTGTGTTGAAAGTGTACGGTGTCAGTGAGAATGGAGAGGCTGTAGAGTGAGAACTGTTCATCGTTTAGAGCAAAGTATAATGTTTGTATTTTCATTCCTGCAAATTAAAATGATATTGTATTGGTGCTAGAATTAACTCTCAGAATCATATGCACTGGGTCCTTTCCTAACTATATTGACCTCATTACCCCGATGTTGCGGTGTGTGCTCATATTGTTAATCTTCACAGTTCAAAAATTCAATAAAAAGAGCTGTCTTTCTAAGCAAAATGCTCATTAGTAAACCAGGTCATTTGCTTTAGGATTCAACAGCACTCCAGCTTCAGTGAAAAAAATCAACATGTGGAAAAACGATGGAAAGATGGAAGTAAAAAGTATCTAAAGAAATGACTACATGTCGTGTGTTGGCTGTAGAGGACAACAGTGCTAAATGAGGAGGGTCCACTTCAACAAAAGGGGAGAAGGTACAGAGCTCCTGCACAAGATAATTACATCAAGAACATTCTTTTGTCTGAAAAGCTTGAAGTTCCCTACATGTCAAATAAATGTTCCAAACCAAAGTGAATTAGATTTCAGGAAACCGACACAAGTAGCCAGCTCTATTCACGAAAAAAACAAAAAAATAAACAAAAAAACATTCATCGCAGACAGACAGGATACTCACAAGCTAGGAAGCACAGTGGCTTTCTCATTTTGGCACTGAGCATGCCATGACATCACATGGACAACTAGCCAATCATGGGGCAGGGCTCAGCACCAAGCCAGTAGCAGTTTACACATGCGGAAGAGAGGTACACACATACGCACACACACACACACACACACACAGACGTAGCATAGAGTGCATATATCACAGAGAACTGGGTCCAGTCAGAGAAGCACTGGTCGGCTCAGCAGACGCGCAGCTGTATTCCATCCAAAGTTTTAGGGCAGATGCTTTTGGCTGTAGTTATTGGACTTGTACTTGGGAAATGTTCCCAAAAGGTCTGTGGTCCAAGCGGGCCTTCCTGGTTCACCCCATTCAGTGAGATAATGATTGTTCCAAAGATAAAAGGGCATGCACCAGCAGTAATCATGCGATAATGGTTCACAGGAAGCACTTTTTGTTGCTTTTTTTTCTTGCTGTTGGTTTACTTTTTATAAAAAAGAATCATGCCTTAGATTATTTGATTTGTTATTTTTTCTGTACAAATGTTATAAAACTACAAGTTGAACTCCTCTTCCAGATCATGTGAAGTCAACAGCATCTCCTTGCTTGATGTCACATATTGAGTCTGATGAGCGAAACGTACACGCTCATTTTCCCCGCCGGTCAGGTTGCCGTTTAGTGGAGGAGGGTTTGGCAGTAGATTTTCTTTCCTGAGACAACACAACATTATTTGTCAGAGCATCCAAAGGATGCTGAAGAACAGAGTGCAACATTAAATGCCAAACTTTATGTAAACCACTTTTGCGAGATTGAAAAAGTACCTTTCTCTGCACAGGAGCATGTTCTTCAGCCCGTGTTTCAGTTGCACATTCTTCTTTTTCCTCCCTCTGTGAAAAGTATTCACACGTTACATTTTATATGTACTTACAATGAAGAATGAAATATCAATATTTTTAAAGCAGATGCAAAAATATGTTGAAATAGAAAAAAATCTTCAATGGTATGTCCATGTGTGCAGTGTGCAACACATCTGACTGCTTTTCATCAAAACTGAGTTTTGATGATTCCTGTGCAGTAAAGTGGAAAACTGTTGATGATCTTATGCAAAACTGATCTGTATGATTTCCATGCCATCAGATAGTCGCAGATAAATGATGGACTGGTGCCTTGGACTTGCAGCGAGAGCAGTCTTCATAAAAAAATCTGACCTGGCCCTGTCTGAGCTCTTTCTCCCAAAGTGGCGGCCCCATGTCATAGGGTCGAGTGCCATGTAGGAACCGGCCCCGCAGTACTTGAGAATACCCGGAGTCACACACCGAAATTAGCACAGGCTCCTGGGCTTCACTCAGACTGCTGTCCCGACCGGTGGACACCGAGCCCACCCAGCCTGAAAGGGAATCCTTCTCTGGCAGATACGGCTGGAAAGCTCCTCCTCTTCCGACCCTAAACAAGCAGTCACAAGCAGCACGCTTAAATAGGAGTCTGTGGGAACATGACAGAAGGAAGTCTTAGAAGAAAACAGTTACCGGTTGTCCCCGTTGTGCTCTGAGGGTCGACTCATCCCTGTGACGTCCTCCTGGCCTGAAACACAAATCCCTGCACCTGAACCCATCCCTCCAGTCTCCCTTCTCTTCCCCTCAGACCTCTGACCTCCGAGCTGGCCGTTCAGGTTGACCTTGGGCACTGCCCCACTGGCTCGGATTCTGTCTCTGTCTGTCAGAGCTGTGGGCGGCTCTGGCTGGGCCTCATCCTCCTCCTCTACCTCTACCTCCTCATCTTCCTCCTCCTCTTCCAGCTCCATGATAGAACCACTGGCCCCGCTGGCACCGCTGCTGGGACGTCCTAAACTGCAGGGGAGCGAGAGTGTGGCCCCCTCTGAGTCGTCTGCCCGGCTGCTGCCGTCCAGAGAAGAGTCCTCCACTGTGACCAGAGAGGGGCTGACCCCTGCGGGCCACACCTGCACGTCAGACATCTCCAAGAGTGTGTCCTCCTCTGTGGTGGCTATCGGCGCACACTCCAGGCTCGACACCTCCTGCCAGTACGGCTCCACATTGAGCGGCGAGGGCAGGCTGTACTGCAGGGACGCAGGGGAGAGCAGCTCCTCTTGCACCAACCCATATCCTGCATGAAAAGAGCAGCGAAACCACACTAACACCACACACAGCCAGGCTCAGGCTCAGCTATGTCCCAATGCCATTTACTGATGTCTCAAATGGGTTTACCCAGGATAGGAGAGTTGAGCAAATGCAACTTCCAACATCCTACAAGTCAAATAGGCCACAAGTACAGCGCCAAATGAATTATTATTATTTTTTTTCACATTGGGACACAGTAAGAGTGACTAAAAATAAAATGGACACAAGTGGTATTTTCATTCTGTTCGGTGAGGGAGTTAGCTAATTGTTTTCAAGTGGTCAGGATTTTACTTTTGTGATTTTTGAAGGGAAAGTGCTTGTGGTGTTGGAACAATATCCCTTGTTGATCTTTATTGTACAAACACACTATGTTTATAACATTGCTTTGTTTATTTTGGTAAAATCTGCAAGCACTAAAACTAGTATCGTTCCAACCCATGAAGCACCAATGTTGTGGAAAATACATTTAGCTCATTGTGGGAATTGCAAGATACTGTAGAATTTGCAACTTTTTAAATTTTGCAACATGAAATAATATATATATATATTTACAAATATATATATAATAAAGGAAAAAGTAAGAAAACCATGCTCATCCTTTCCAAAGTAATGAAAGAATACAGAAAACAAATATTTCCAAGAAATACTATATGATTAATTCAAGTTTATAAAGAGTCTTTTTGTTAAATGTATTTAACTATTAGATATGACTGATTAAAACTGTGAGAAAAAAAAAATTTGGGAATGACATTGGAATGCACTCTCATTATGGACACACACACAAAGCCACACAAATACAAAGAATGGCTAATGCTAGACACAATAGTTCATAATAATAGTAACTTATAAAAACCCCTTAAAGTCAGAGAACCTAACTTTTTTGTTGTTTCATAAATCAATTTTGTTGTCCAGCACACCCACAGAAGGAGTCTTGTTTAAGTAACACTTTTTGGACAAATCAAACCACTGATTTCACGATTCACCTTTCAATGGCACTGACCAATAGCTGTCTGTGATTCCCCTAAAATTGCGCATTTAGCGTTTGTGTGGGAGTTAACGTGTGTTTTTGGGATGGTAACGGGCCAGATGCGCTGAGGTGGACTGAGAATGATGAATGATGGGGAGGATTGAATGAGTTGATTCTGGGTAATGCCGCTGTCTTAATCACACACAGGTCAGGTGGTAAAGACACATCAAATGGTGAAGCACAAAACCCACAGAGACTGCAATGGCACATGGAAACACAGCACACACACACACAGAACACACACTTTGAGACCTAAGTGAGTCAGGAAGAATAGACACAATAGGCACAAACACACACACACAACTCTAGTAGACTGCAGATAATGTTTAGATTGTGTTATGACATAAAAATGAGTTACTGTCATCAGATTAAGGCAAACATCATTATTGTTTACACTGAGTACAACATTAAGATAGACAATAGGTTGCGTTCATGAAATATCAAAACATTTCAAAAACCCTATAGTTTAAAATTGTGGTGGAGGGCAGCTGAAATAAAATCCCTGCTTAGTTTACAGCTAATGTATGTGTATTTCCTGGGACAATCCACATGGAATAAAAACTGTCACTAAATTCTACATCTCTGTCAGTATATTTCAACTATGGTCTCGTTTTATTTTCTCATGAAGGTCTAGAAGGAAAGAGCTCTGGTGTGTACTATTGTAATCTTGTACAGTTTTTCCAATGTGGTTTTACAACAAATGGCAAATAATTGAATCTTGAGTGGTGAAGTGGTGACATTATTCAAAAGCATATGTTGATCAGACTTTTGGACAAGAATATAATGGTGGATCATAAAATAATGATCTGGTAGAGCATTAAGACATTTTCTAAGAAATGCATTTCTTTCCCAGAGCGGTGTATTGGCATCTGCCCTCCAACTCAAATATATTTCTATAGCATGAACGCAGCCCATTAGCTGAGATTTAGCAATTATAGCAAAAATCAGCCTTAAATGTCCAGCAGAGGGCGATGTTTTGTTTAGACCTTCTAAACTAAAGTAACAGCCGGACGACCACAAAAAGCTTCATGTCAACAGCTGAGAAGGCTATAATTGAGGCTACAAATTCCCAAACAAAAATAATTTGCTTCCCCCACTATCTTCCCCACTGCGATGTAATGTGAGCTACTTTTGCCCAGCAAAAAGTGCCAAGGCTTGGACCAGGCAGCTGTTATGTCTCTACCAAACAGAAAAGAATCAGTCTGGTACCACTTTGTGCTAATCAGAGCTTCAAGTAAAAGAAAATGTCTAGCCTTAATATACTATATTTTACTTTATAGAAAATGTAGTATCGCCTTTACAAAACATTGAGAATTCATTATCTATTGAGCAAGCTCATCAAAAATATATCCTGTATGCAGAACAAAACAAAAAAAGTGTATATAATAGACGTTGCAGATCAACAGATGCAGAAGATTAATCTGTTGAAGGAAGTAAGTTTTAGGAAGCACCAGACTGAACTTCTCTGACTGAAATATTAGCTGAGTTCTTTGTGGTCGACCAGACAATCACTTTTACCAGACTTCAACAATGGAACAGAGTTTTTACTTTACATTTAAAAAGAAAATGAACATTTATCTCTGATTATACACAACACTCTTGTGTATCCATTTCACATGTCGTCATCAATTTATACAGTGAAGTAAACTCAAACATGCCATGCATTCAGTAGCTTTTCTAATTATTTGATTAAACTGTCTATGATTTAGTGGTATCACAACAATTTGAGGTCTTGGCATTAGTTAAAAATCATAAAATTAACACATTATCTGTATATCAAGAGTGTAAAACAGTTTAGCACAAACACAGAGCAAGCACAAGTACAATAGTTGTAGCGCCTCATGCAGCATGCCCATGCACAGGTGTCCTATACACACAGAGCTGGACTGAGAGGAGGAGAGGAGCGAGGAGGAGGCCCAGAGCTCAACATGAGGTCATATGAGGTCAGAGTCGGACAGAAGAGCAGGAGAGGGAGGAGAAGAAGGCGGCTGTGTAGCAGAAATGACATGTCACAGATTTCAAAGGTAGATTCTCCAGAGAAAAAGACAGGCAAATAAACATCAACATGTCTTTTTCTCAGGCAACAGTGAGGAAGAAAAGAGACAGAGAAAAAGAGACAAAGGATGAAGGCCCAGAGAAAATAATCAAGATATAACTAAAGCATTTCCATCCCATATAAACACACAATCAACTGCATTTATGTGTAAAGTACGGATATAATATTATATTTATGAGTAACATGAAGATATTTCAATCAATAAAGAAATTGGTCACTTTGCCAGTAATATTTACTACTTCTCTTGAATACATATTTATTTGGTTTGGGCCCTCCAACAGAGCGGCTTCATGTGTGTTGTTGTCTTAGTTATAAGATATTTGATCAAGATTACAATCTACATGATAGAAAGTTAGAAACCAAAGCAGAGATAAGTTTTATCTTATCAAGTAACTACGTACATTTAAAATACGTTTTAGTACCCTCATAATAGTTATTGTGCTAATGCTTGGGAACACTCTACCTTAAAATTTAAATCAAAAGATAAATACAAATTACTCAACAAAATACGAGTTTTGAATCTCACTTTTTTTCTTTTATGCCATATTTTCTCTAGGGAAATTTCTCTTCTGCATTTGACCCATCCTTCAAATGCCTCAAGGATATTCTGTCAGGAGCAGTGGTCCTCAGGGGACCCATCTCCAGATGACGCTAGGCATGGTCAGGAGGATTATTGACCTATGGTGCTTTTTTTGAGTGAAGGGCAAATCAGAGCACCTGGAGGAAATCCATCCAAACACATGAATACATGGAACATGAAACCTCCTTATGAGAGTTTTACCCACTCAGACAAGCTAAAGATCTTTAACCTGAGCCCGACAGGGCCAAACAATTTCAGGTTTGATAGGGCCAAACTTCTGACATCTAAATTTCTCCATTGTGAGATCAATGAAGTTTATCTTATCTTTTCTATCTTATAACTCGGGCTTGTGCTGACACGGTAGAAGTCATGTGAGATCAAGCCCCTGGCAAATAGAAAACTCCTCTCAACTGGGAGACAAGGGCCACAACATCAGTGCAATCCTCCTCCCTCTGTGTGTCAACAGCACAGAGGGATGTATGATGCAGCGGCCAAGATCCATTGGTGTCTGTTTGAGGCGGTCTTGTTGGGGTGCAGTTGGGTTTGGCATACAAAAACAGTCTTTGACATTGTTGAGCTTGAGCCGGGTTGGGCCTTAGTTTTTAGGTCTGATTACAGCTCTATCACTCACTCTACCACTGTAGAGTGTCTCCAATGCAGAAAAATAAATATTATGAAGGTTTTTGAGCTTCACCAACATTTTTAGAGGACTGCTATTGTTTTGAACACTGTACAACTGTATAAACGTAAGCTTTGCACTAAATATAGACCTCATAACTTGACATAATACAGGACGTATAAAACATGTTAGGGCAAAGGCAAGAAGAGTGAAAACTTCAACATAAAGTGAAAGGGGTTTAATATGTGAGTCTCAGAGCATGCTGAGAAAGACGCTTGAGCAACTTTTCTCAGCTTACAGTACCATCACTTTGGGTTCAGTATTGTCATTCTGTACAAGAGCAGCAAACCATCATGCAGCCAGGAGGCCCCTCCACTTACCCCTTCTGAAAAACGGGGGCCTAATAACTCTGGGCTTGTGCACAAGGCGTGAACGCCTTGGGTCCGTGATCTCTTGTGGAGCAACAGAGACAAGGCAGAATGGCTGTTACCACACTAATGGACAGCACTTACCAACTGTTACCACAGTTACTCTAAACACAACACATGTATGTACTGTTTAGACATTTGTCTATGAATAGGAAAAGCAAAAGAAAAATGGGGGTAAAATCATTATAATTTATGGTTTTCTTATACACTTAAAACTCTGTACCCATTTTTTGCTGATATGAAAAACATAGGTATCTTTTAAAATTTGCAACAGTACGCACTAACTACCTCCAGAGCTTTTTTCTCCATTGTAAGACAACAATATAGTTCGCAATATTTTCTCTCAGAATAAAACACTTTGCAATTAAATGCAAAGCACAAAAAATGCACTTCTATGTCAAGTGCTGCTTTCACAACATATATGAGCAGACGCAAAACTACCGTAATATTGAAAATACACATGGTCAAAAATCAGGTACAGAGCTTCTAAATTGAAGTCCGCTCACCCTAAGACTAATAGTCCAGTCTAATTACATATTTTATAGTGTTGTATGTGAAGTGTTAGTTGTGTTTTCACTGCATACCATTGAGGACACTGGGCGACAGCAGAGAAGAGTCTCGGTCACCCAGGCGGCACGCCCCTTCCTCTGATGAAGCAGGGGCCAAGGATGGAGGCCCTTCTATGGAGCTCACAATATCTACACGGTCAATGTTCCTCAACGCTGTGTACAAACTCTCCACTATAACAAGGAAGAAGAGGGTTGCATAAAAGCAAAGAAAAATAAGCAATGAGTATGTTTTCAAAGCACAAGTGAAAACTGAGTCCTTTGCCTCATCCATTTTAAGTAGATTGAGGTGTAAAAAACTACACCATAGTATTATCTGCTGTAGATGTAAACACGTACACCAGATACTACTGGGTCAAGACCAGCAGATGCATTTAAGAGCACAGGGAAATCTATGCATTTGGACGCATTTAGGCAACTCATTATGATCGTTACCGCGCCACACATATTTCATTGTTGTTTTGTTACATGACGAAAAAGCAGGAAATATTATTAGGGCGGTGCGACTGCTTTTTAAATTAGAGAACGTCACAAATAGACAGTATTTTAAGCGTACTTATTTTTTCTCACTTTGTAAACGTACTCAATCATATTTAGTTGGATACAGAGAAGAGCAGGGCACAAACGGAAAACACTCACTTTTAGCTCTCTTTCCTTCTCTGCTGGCCCACATGTTCAGAAGAGTAGAGCTTTGGTCGAGCAGCGAGTTGGGATTTTCTACACGGATGCGATTGATATCATCCACTCCAAACTGCAGCTCTCGTGCCAATTCTTTCAGATTAAGTTGAGTAATGAGAAAACATCAAACAAAAATATAAACCCCCGTTAAAATTACTTACCTGCCCAGCTCAATCCCAGCTGTTCAGATATGAGATTTATTTTTAGTTCTGTCCTCTCCATGACGTTTACAGCAGCTAAAATGAGAAATAAAACAAGTTACAAATGCAATAAAAAGAAGATCAAACTTACCTTGTAATAAGAAATGACCTGTTGGATGGGCACCCATGACAATGATATTGATCATTTATTTTTCAGGATTAGAACTTTAACGACATAGGGGTTAAGATTCAGGGCTCATTCCAGTGCTAAGTCCCATCTAAGTCGCATTCAGTAATCATTAGAAAGGGACTCGAGTGCAATGTAGCAGTGCTGTGTCCTATAGACAGAAAAGGCCTTCCCTAAATATGTCTGACAATATTTTTAAAGTTTTTCCACAGGCCAGCTCCTCTGTCTAGCTCCACTGTGAGCCCCTGGCCATTCCCAGCGCAAAGCAACAGTCATTCTGCTTCTATAACTGCTGCCATGCCATTGGAAGTCACAGCGGAGGGACCAGCACCATGCAAAACCTAGTCATTCATGAATTTTCCAAGCTACAAAATCTACTGTAGAGCAAAGTGTCCAAGCTGACAAGAGCAATTTAAGGTCACGATGGGCAGCTAAATTGTTGGCGCACATTCACCATTTTAAGTGCACTGCAAAAAAGACTAAGGATTATTTTGGAACAGTGCATTGCTTTTAACTCGCGTTTCAGTGCCATGCGTTGACCCAAGTCAGATTACAGGGAGTATAGAGGGCGGATTGGAAAGCAGAAAGTTCTGGGTGAAGGGACAATGCAACATTCAAGACCCAGCTCCACAAAGATTATGATAGGAGAGGGCTGCAGGTCAGGCCGACTAAGACTTACCCACACCAGGCTCGTTCAGTGAACTGTAGCGCTCTCTGAGAGCCAGAGGAGTCAAAGTCCTGCGCCGTTCCTCACTGCCAGCAACCTGCAAATCCCATCATAGTTACATAAATATTACACCTGTGGATGTGTGCCAGCTGTATAATGAGTCATTTTTACCTTGACACAAGGTGGCATGGTTATGTTAAGGTTACACAGTACGTGCTGTGTCTCCTCATACTTTGTGCACTTCCGCAGGAAGGACAAAAACCCTGTAGCGTCCTTGTTACTGTCTCTGACCTAATACAGAATAACAAAATAAAAGACCAAAATATATGGACAACAGAAAAATGTTGAGTAAAATAATGTAATAAAAAATCAAATGAGAATGAAGGAAACAAAATACAAACAACAAAGTGAAAGTGATGAAAAGAAAAGGAGATGAAACAGGAAGAGTATTAGACAAAGTTAAAGATTGTTGGCTCGTGGAACAGATACATGGACAAGAAGCAGGGGAAAGCAGTCCACAGGCAGGCAAGTGGGAAAGATTTACCTGCACGCTTTACCTGGACGTCTGTCAGACCAGACATTACAGTGACCGTGAGAGAGAGAAAGAGAGACAGTGAGACACACAAAACAGACAGCACGGCCGCAAGAACAGGAGGCAAGCCCACAGAGTGAGGGAGTCACAGTCATGCAACATTTACCCAGACGTGACAACTATGAATACAGCAGACACCGGTCTACTGAGCTTACACACAGACTATACAACAGGGCAAGCTTTTCAAAATCACAGCATCAAGGTTGTTAATGCTGTTAATTACAGTCAACTCTGTACAAAATATTGTACTAAAATTATGCACACATAAAGTATTGAGATAGTGGAATAATTAGAAAATGCGGCAGACTTAAAAGAGTTAATTATGAGCCGCTTTATTAACACTGGAACGGGAAGAATTTTCAAGGAAAAAGAACAAACAAAGAACTACAGTGTAAGAGATTGTATGAATACAGGCAGACAAGGGATTTTTGAAGAACTGAGGAAGTATTATAAAGTGTGAATTGAAAACCCAGTAATAAAGAAACATTGCATTGATAAAATTAAGTACAGTATATTCAAACCTCTGAGACAAACAATCTCAAACAACAGAAACTTTATTTCTACAATTGGATCCTCCTGGACATCTAAGTGACCAAATCAACTCAGACAAACATGAAAAAGTTACAATGAACATCTTAAAATAAAATATCTGAAGCCCTTTACAAACACGCACATCTAGCGCTGGCTATTTTACGGTCATTCAGGGGCCAAGTTGCGAGAATCTGGGTTTTGTTTTAATTAGTTGTAAGTTTAGGCTCAGTGTAAATCAGAACTGCTCCATACAGCTTCTTAACTCGGTTTAGACCATAGAACCAGGATCAGGTCTGGTTTGCTCCTGGTTTTCCCCACAGGACCAGGGTTAGGTCTGGGTAGGGATAAAGTAGCAACATGGACCTCACTTTTTCAGTACTTGACTGTGAAACATGTCAAATGTGCAATATATTACATGAATCTACATTTTATAATCTGTATCATCCATCAAGTGATTAGGTCTATTATGCAGTATTTGTTTTTTAATTGGGTCTCAAGTATTTCAATTGGGCACGATATTGACAGAAAATAGCGCTGAAAGTTAGTATTATTAGATTAGTATTATTACCGGACATCTGTGTTTGGCAAAATACACTTGGTAATTTGCGGCATAATTTCTACTTTACAAATTAGAGACATAGCACATTCGCACGGGACTAAGATCTGAGGCAGCCTCCGCAATTATCACAAATCACCAAAGGTCCACTGATATACTAATCCCATAGAAAAATACGTCTCAATGATTGTTATCGCAATTGTCCGCCTTTTCTACTTTGAGCATTGTTATCTGTCAATGTCTTGTGCGCCTTTTCATACGTCTTCCTGACTTCAAAAATGGAGGCTGCGGAAGAAATGTGGTTGTTGGGGCCAAGAAACTTCCCCCACATTAGAATGAGTCTGGTGTGTGAGATTGGTGGGAGGGACCAAAAAAACGGGACCGTTGGCACATACCGGTTGTCAGTGTGCCCCAGGGCAAATGTGGCGACAGTAATAGTTTATCCCAGTGTGTGTGAAGTGAATGAACAATGACATGAGAAGCATCTTTGAGTGTCCAAAAAAACACAATATAAAACTTATCTTTTGCATTATTCTTTAGAGAGCCAATTCTCGTGCACGTGTGTTATTAGTGAAAATAGACAAAGGTAATTTATAGATTTTATTTATCCCGTGTGAATGTGCTGCAAGTAACACAAGGTGGGACAGTAATTAGAAAATTGCTAGTACCAGCGTTCTCCAGTTAGTACTAAACCTGTGTGAATAGGGCTTTAGTTATAAAAAGATGCTAACATACGTCACATAGTGAAAATATTAGAGTTTATTTTATACTGCAAAACTTGCTTTTTTTCTGTTCATTTGAAGTCACAATCCCTACATTGTACATCTTCATCCCCTTAGTGTTCAAAGACAAAATACTTACACAGAATGTAGTTACACGGAATGTACTGTTTGTACAGTATTTACGAGAGAAAGCTGGAGATTCCGGTTTAGAGTTATTGTCAGGGTCTGCTGTTTGTAAAGGGCTTTAAAAAAAGACTTCTCTAAAGACAGAAAATGACACAAAGTGATTCCATGCATACACCTGAGAGCCGTGAGACACAAACAGACCTTAACAGAGACGGGCAGTCTGTTATCTCTGAAGGCCTGGAAGCTAAAGCTCCGAGGCTGTTGTGTTGCCTTCCTGATGGGCACCAGGTTCCCAGAACACTCCAGATGCAGTGGTATGCCCTCCATTAGCTAACAAAGGTATTAGAAAAAAAAAGAGTAGGTCAGTGATTCCTTTCAGCCAGTTAATGCACACAGAAAGCATTATTGGATTCAGCTAAAAGCATCAGAAAGTGCCAACACCTGCCAAGAGGATTCCCAGTGGATCCAATACGTTTAAAGTGATCTTCAATTTGTTATTAAACTGCACCTTGGACCAAATTGGGCAAAGATGCCATTTCCAGATTACAATAGATAGATGTTACGTACAGTATGTCATGACTGAGCTCACAATTCCAAAGAAAAGAAAAAGAAAACAAACTTCAGTATCAGTATCAGCAGTAATGACAAAAAAATTGCTTGAGCAGATTTCGGGCAAAAAGAAAGAATGACAATAATCTTCAATATAAGTAAAGAAATTATATCCTGATCCTACCTACTGTATTACTGTTCTTGAGAGTTGAAGAAGAGGTAAGTTCTTATACAACTTAAAGGTACTATTTAACTGCCTTTGAAATCTCAAATGTCTGTCATTGAATGTGAACCCCCGATCATGTAGCTCTCCAAAACCTATTCAAATGATGAAGTTTACCTCTATGTCTCGACTGCGAGCCACCTCAGTGAAGTTCTCATGGAGTTCCAGAGTTTTGTCCATTTTATCGTCCGTCATGCAGTAACAGCGCAGCCGTCCCTCCCTCACTTCATTCATTTTAGCAAAAATAACGAACTTGGCCATATATGGAACAGACATAAGCTCTTTGTACAGCAGATTGGAAAAGGTCACTGCTTCTGCGGTACGTGGGCAATCAGCCAGCCAAAATCTTTAAACAAATACAATGTTAATGATTTTCACATGTTTATTTCATGCAAGAACAAAAGTAAAATAAAGAGTGTCACCTTGCAGAAACATTGGTCGTAAAGTTGGCACATTTATTTGCATACATCAATTTAGTGGTTCCTGTGATGTCTTCCCACTGAGCGGGAGCTGTCCCACCTAAAAACATAAAACACCACTTGTTATGGAAAATGGAAAATGTTTACAAAGCAGAAGAATACAAAGTACGCAAAAAACCAACTCTGTTCGGTGTCAAACCTGATGGGGCGGTTTTTCTGATTGGTTAAAGGGAGCCTCGGGACTCATTCGAAGAAATCTTGGAAATTAGCCTTAGCACTCAACATTTAGAAAAGTATTTGTGAATTAAATGGTATGATACTGTATACTTTTGGCAAATGTAATTACTGTAAGAATTAGCAGAGGGATGCTTTTCATTGCAATGATCAAAACAAGTGAGTTGCATATTAGTGTCAAAGCAAGGCAAGTTTTTTTGTAGAGCACAATTCATACACAAGGCAACTCAAAGTGCTGAACAAAATAAGAAAGCATTAAAATCATAAATAATCACAGTACATTAAAAAGAAAGATAAAAATATAGAATCCCTCAGTTGTATGCACAGCTAAACAGAACTGTTTTTAACCTGGTTTTAAACATTGTCAGAGAGGAGGCCTGTCTCACATCTTCAGGAAGATCAGAAGTCCAGATTTTAGCAGCATGAATCTGAAAAGCAGCCTCCCCATGTTTAGTCCAGACTCTGGACACTAACAGGAGTCCAGTCCCTGTGCTCCTCAGAGTCCGGGCTGGTTCAACATGTCACTAATATATTTTGGGGCGAGGCCATGGAGAGACTTGTACACAAGCAGAGCTGTACACACATTTCTAGTAAAAGCATGACTTCTCCCTGCGCTCTTAAATTCCTCTCCTGGCCTTGTCGTATCTATCTATTTACATGGTTTCGTGCCATTCCGGATCTCGCGGACAGGACATATTCCGGATTTCGTGCCGGATTTCGCGGATCATTTGGAGTGCTTACATGCAACTTGCTCAATCATTAAATTGGACGAGTTGAGTTATTCCATATTTACAAGTCTTCAGCTTATACCTATGACACTGCAGAGGAGTCGTAAACTGGTGGTGTCCCCCTCCCCAGCGTCTCGAGGACTTTCTCTCCAGGAAGGCGGCAGTGGAATCCTCAAGCCGATTGGACGGTGGAATTTGCGCCTTCGAGGTTCAATGGTAACGACCGGACTGAATGTTGCCTGGTTACCGAGTTGTCTTGTCAGCAGCTCATCTGGAATTGGTTGGGCCTAAAAAAAAAAACGGGAATAATGGAGTTAGTTACAGATATATATGTTTAATGTGGACAAATGAGGGTTTGTGGATTATACACATAAAAGTGAAGAAAACAGCGATAAACGTAATATATATACAATATTTCAACCGGATAGTCAAAATCACATGCAACCAAATCATATTTCACATCTCACCCAAACTCAGATCAGTGCACCAGCCTGGTCAGTGTGGCTCACAACTTAAATCTGGCAACTGAGGAGTGAAGAATGGCTGGATAAAAGGAAAACAGAGTAACAAAACATAAATGATCATGCATGTCAAAAAATAAATAGTGACAACTAAAAGCCAAAAAATAAACACATGTTTACACGTCATGAAAACAAAAATCTACATGAAACACGCAATAAGAGGAGCTTAGTCCGGGAAGTCCGGTTTTCCCAGGAATTTAGTGTAATAGTATTTTAATCATTTCTATAAGTGAAGTACTATGAAATCCTTTTTGGGAATATTTTTTTATTTTTAACTATCTTATCTCATTTAATAGGCTTATTTTTACCATTACTCCAATCACTATCACCTTTTACACCAGTATTCACGGAACATTATTTTTCCAGATGTGCTCAGCATCAATCAATTGATTTTCAAAGAAACTTGTAACTTTCCCTTTTACTTTTCATGGATACTTCCAGTGTGTTTGGAGTAAATACAAAAATATAATAATCAGTTGTTGTTTAAAACTATAAGCTGAACCACGATTTCCTGGGATGTTTAGCATGTTGTCCATGCTGCACTTCATAGTAAAAAATAAACAAAACTACTAGAAAGTGTTCCCTTTTTGGGCCCAAAATCATGAAGTTTACTGTAGTTTCCTGTACTATAGATAGAGCCTTTTTTGCAAAGGTATGAACGAATGCCAGACACCTATATTGATCTAGATCGTGGGCTCGAGATTATCTATTGATTAAAATAAGTGATACAATGGCAAAACATTAACAATAACACTTTTTCATGCACAAATTGTCTACAGGGAAGTTGAACAATGATATGAAATAATAACTAAAGTGATTCATGAAGTGGTTGTGCCTAGAGCGGAGGCAGCTACATCCAGACTTTGTGAATGATAGCACAATTTCCACAGTCCACTGACCCATTTGTCAAAGCGACAAGCAATCACTTTGGGGAAGTGTTATCTGAACCAAGTACCTGCTGCCCCAAAAGAATCCCACATGTAAGCGTCTGGCACAGCCCACTGCGTCAGGCTCAGAGTAAGCCGTTTTAGGATTTCAAACAGCTGTTCCCAGTGTTTGGTAAATCATAGCAGATTGTTTGTGTTTGAACAATAAGAAAACCCAACAAGCAAATGAGCGGCAGACTCCAACAGATGCTGAACTTTCAAACATTTGTTTTTGTGGATATTATGACATTATCTATCTTTGTATACTTGCCTGAAGCCCCAGTCTCACTCTTTTGGTCACTGCTGTTTCAGGAAAGATTGCCTCAACGTGAGGAACCAGCTTACTCGTGAGCCGGCCCCCCTCTGGCCCAATCAGATCGCTCTCCTGCTGAATACGAGAGGCCACCGCAAAGTACAGAGGGAAGTCAGTGGAGATGATCCTTCTTATTCTTTTCTTCTCCAGCTCTTCTTGACTTTCCAGATCTGCAAAAACACACAAACAATGTAGGTAGGTAGACTTAATTGAACAACGGATTCAGACATCCAATGGGCAGTGGAAAGACTTAATGATTAGTTATTGTGATTTCAGGCGATGCAAATTCAATTGATTTGGTTTTGTGCAATAGGCCAGTTATTTTTGCCAACATTATTTCTATTATCCCAATCCCACAATATTGAGGCATTTCCCAAATCATACATTACCCACCCTATTTATCAAATAAATCAATACATCAATATTTCTTCTTCAATTTACCGCAGCTAAACATCAGCATACAACATAATTCATATTTTAAACATCTTGTATATTATATATATCAAATACTTTTGTCATCTGTCAGTCTTTATTACAGAAATAATAATGCAATTGACATAAATCTTGCTCATGCAAGAATCTCGTGACGGTGTGAAACCTGTTCCAAACACACCAACCTTCATCCATGCCATTTAAAATGGTTTCCAGCACTTCGTCGCCATAACGATTGCGGTGTTCCTTCCACACAGAGCCATTTTCACTTCGAAGGATGACAAGCTCGCGGTCCCCATGGCCAAGTGAAGCAAAATGTGGGATTTCCACAATCACTGGTCTAATAACAAAGTATATACCAACATAAACATATAATAGTACATCTCAACGTTCACATTCAATGTTTGAAGATGTAGAAGTGTAAGTGAATAAAATTACTAACCCAAGGAACTGCATACTAGACGGGCCTAAAGAGATGATGCGACTGGCAAGCCCCTCCCCCTCCACCAGAGGAGGTGGGGTTGTGAGTTTCTGAGGTTTGACCAAACGGCAGGTGATGCGTGTGGGGGCTGCACAGGTTCGAGGGGGGATAATGACACGTAGGCCGTGATGTCGGCTGCCTCGCATGGACCCGCCCCGAGCGTCCACCATAAAGCTCACTAAGAACCTGCAAATGAAGTCAAAGGGTAAGTGAACTGTACCTGAAGATAGTCTCGAAGGCAGGATGTTCATACTCACCCAGTGTGGATGGGGCTGGCTACTGGGCTCACGTTGTCTGAAGTCTCTGTTGCAGGGCTGCTCGGGATCAGAGAGTCTTCGTCATAATCCTTTGGCAAAGGAAGGGGGGTGTGCTATAAGGAAAAAAACCACATGGATTTAGATGTTTTAAAGCGATAAATAATACACAGGGTCATAAAATACAGCATGTAGTGAATTTCAAAAGGTGTTGTCTGTAATATTCAAGACTGATGAGGCTTAGTCTCCTGACTCTTTTCCAAACATGTCAACACTGTTTTATCATATACAGTATATACAGGAGCAATAAGTATTAAACTTTAAGAATAAACAAGTAAAAAGATTTCCTAACTATTTCTGTTTGTTGAGTGAGAATTTGTCCAGGTTCAACTGTGGTTAAATATCAGCATTAACAGGTTGTAAAACTAATTTTAAAGTTCCAATATGTCTGCTGAACTGTCTAAACTGTGGCGTCACTGGTACAGTAGTCTGCTGTAAATATCTATGCTTATTTGTATGATTATCGTTTTTGTTTTTGTGCGATGCCTTTCTTATCTGGACCTCGTGTCTGTAATGAAGTTGAATAATTAATAGCTTTTGACATATTAGGGCAATTTAACAATGACTTGACATGAAAATCTTACATACTACTACTTTAATTATAAAGTATAAATCAAAGAAAAATTATGACATTCAGAGGCCCTAGTGGCATTAGAAAGGATGGGTCAAATGCAGCGGACACCTTTTCCCACAGGCACAATTAAGTATAACTTGTTTTCTGTTATACCTGATCTAGTAGGACCGTCTCTGGAGAAACACATGGAATTCTAGGAATAGCTGGGGAGTAAGGCCTGAAAAGAAAATGCAACATTAACATGTAAATATATATACATATATTGTAAGATTTAAAATTTGAAATATCTTCACATACGTGGTGCCCATGCCTCCTTCAAAGTCTCGCAGAGTTTTCTTTGGAGAGAGAAAGTCGTCATCTTGATCTTTAAAGTCGTCAAGTTTTAAATAACGTGCTCCATCCATCCCAAGCAACTCATCCCCTGTAGAAAGATAAGACAATGTATCAAGATTGAAATATGCAAAGCTTTCTCAAATGCAGAGAATGCAAGTTTTTATGGAAGAAAAAATGACAGGATGAGGCCAGGTTGGGCAAGTTTTTTCCACTCATAAAAGGGTTTGTTTAGAATGACCACATATTATAAACATGAATAAACTCCATTGACATGGATTCACATTCATTCACCTTGACAAAACATTCAAATAGCGACAAACTACAAAGCAGATCTTTTGTTGAAGCAATGGTTAAACCAACAACACCGAGGCTAATGAAAGCTGCAAAGTGGAAATATAGTTGGCCGGAAAAACAGGACATATGACAAAATATTAACACGATGGATGGATTTCATACAGCACGGCACCTGATGACAGCTTTTAGTGAACATGCCGTAAAGTGATGATTGTCACTGTACAGAAAAAAAGACATTTCAATTAATAAAACAAATAACATTAAAGTGATGGTTACACAGACAGTCAATTATTGTAAGCTTGGCCAGACAGAATTACATTGTGTTAAATCTAAAGCAAAGCAGGACTTTGTTATCGTGGTTATGAACAATATTTTCTTATGATATGCAGTCAAATGGTCTCCACAGTCCCTGGTGAAGGGAGCAGAGCTTATCTATTTGGTTGGGTCATGGCATCTTGAAAATGTATTATTTACATGTAGAAAATTGTATTTCTCAAGTTGGAACTCAATAAGTACAGCTGTGCATCAACGTTTACATACCCAGGCAGAAAGGTCATTATTTTGACCATTATGAATGACAACATGAATGATAACACAATTTTTTTTTTCCCCCCAACTCATCGTTAGTGGTTAATTAGAGTCATTTTTTGTCAAACAGATATATTTTGTATTTTGGAATGATGAAATCATTGAGAAACAGATCTCAAATGTCCAGTTAATGCAAGCATACCCAGGAATTTGCAGAAACTGTGCATATACAGGGATTATAAGCTCTTGTTCCAAGAAGAATGGCAGCTTTACCAACAGAGAGGATAATACCAAACTGTCATAGATGTTAGGAGCATAACTTCTAATCAGGGTCAGAAGAGCAGTTTCTCTTGTCATTATGATTTGAACACAAATATTTGACAACAAATTACTTCACACTTTGTGTGCACAGAAATGTGATTATCAATCATAATCTCAAAAATATGACCAGAAAATAAATTTCTGCCAGAGTGTGTAAGCTTTCAATCACATCTGTCAGTCATTCTAGCTGGCCAAGCGACTATAGCTGTAGTACAGCTGTAGATGGGCACTTGACATGAAAAAAACATTTCATTACTATATTAAATGTTCAACTTAATAAACATAAACAAATGTAATACAATTCACTATTTACACACTTAGCAACATGACAACGTGTCATCACTCAAAAATATATAAAATACAGTATACACACTTTTTTTCATTGTCAAGTACTCAAATACAGACATAGGATTAAAGTAATGATGAGTAATTAAGGAGAAAACTTTATTTCATCATAAGTAGGTATAAGTAAAGTCTGATTTTAGCAGAAAAAGAAAAATATATTTAGGTTGCGCTGCCCAAAAAAGTCGAACCATTTCAAAGACAATTTGACAGATTATATTTTAACACAAATGAAACTTCTTTTCTAGTATTAGTTGTCATTATGTTATAAAATGTCTGCTGTAGGGTTATTGTGCACTTTTTCTAAACATGCTGACTTTGTTCGGCAGTTTGAGGCATTGTTTTTGGATAAATAAATCATAGCTCTGTCGGTATGAATCCACAGACAGTGTGCGGCGGATGCTGAGGGTAGAGAAATGTGAGGAGTGAAAGAACGTTTACAAAAGAGGTTTATCATAAGTGAATTGAAGAGGAGAACGTTGAAAGCAGTAAGAGGAACGATTTGAGACGCACACAAATAACGGTTATTGCAATGAAGGCACAATTTAGTGACTGGACCAAACAATTTAAAATACAGACTCAGTCCTACCTAACGTTAGCTGGGCAACTCCTACAAAACACATGGAAAATCGTGTTACTCAAGTCCTGATAAGAGAAATGTCATTGTACACTGTAAATCACATGGTGCATGCTTAATATCACGGATTTACAGCTTTCACGCTATCAGTAAATACATGACAAAATTTCTAAAATGCTCAAAAAATATCATACCTTCATCTTCGGAAACATCCAATATCTCATCTACGGTCTCCGGAAAACTCATCCGATGTTTTTCAGTGGTGATCTAATAACAGTAGAAATTCAGAGCAAAATCAGGCAAATACCTCAAACTTGTATTAAAATTATGAGATAAAAGTTGACTATGTGCCAGTGCAAGGAGACACATGCTTCTATAAAATCAGCAAAGTTAATCAACGCAGAAAAATAAACATATTAGTTGCGTTCCTGTGCTCCTCACCATGGATACGGACTCCTCTGTTACTAGTTTTAGAACATCAATGACGGAGATGTATCCCAGTCGCTTGGCAATGCCCAGGGGGGAGGTCCCATTCTGATCACAGAAACACAACCAGTTATAAACACGTAAACCATATCAATGAAGAAGAAGCCCTGTTTGTTGCTTCGGGCTGAGAGCTGATTTTCACTGTTCGGGATAAAAGCTTATCTAAATATGTGACATAGGCCAAAAATACATACATGTGAAAACTAGTAGGGATAGAACCAAAAATGTTTTAGATTATGAAGAAGATGACATTAGTATATTAGTAGATTTGTATATACTAGTATATTAGTATATTTGGTTAGTATATTTGGTTTTGAGAGTGAGGTAGAATTATGAGATCGAATAGTTTTCATCTGTAGCTCCATTTAATTGTAAATTTGAAAGTTAGATGCCACAGTCCTAAGGTGGCTTTTGTTGACTATAAAAGAAACAATCATAAAGACATATAGTGATACATTATTCCACTAAAAGACTATATATATTGTTTAAAAGCAAAATCAAAGTTGAATTTACATAATCTCAGAGACTACAGTTTATTGAGATAGTGTTGGATTTGGTTAATATTCTTTGGAGCTATTGGTTTCCCTATGCACAAATAAATGTTATACATCATTATAACTCGCACAGATCGAACCCAAATGTCTAATGTCTAGTTATCAGTAGAATAAGTAAAATTTTCACCACAATGCTTCTTTTGCCTTTCCAAAAAGAATAAAAACAGCAGATTCTTACAGAAGTGATTTCATTGGGTTGAGCTCCATGTTTCAACAACAAGGTCACAATGTCAGTATGACCCTGCTGCGCGGCTTGGTGCAAAGGAGTGTAGCCCATCTGCAGACAGACAAATATGAGAGATTTTTTTATTAGTATTTATCGGGCAAATTGAGGGAGTATTCAGGTACAACTCAAAACAAATAATTATGAAAATAATAAAAGATAGTACATTTAATTGAACCTACAGTATTATGTCTGTTATAATCCAGTCATCTTAAGGAAGGAAAAAGTTTGTCACATAATCACCTTCATGTAATAATGTCCAATTTTATTAGTAAACACAAAAACTCAAATACACTCACACATAAAATATGCCATTATCCTAAAAGGCTACGTCACATGATCTGTAGCTGTAGGGTGCTTTACCATTGATGGCGAGTCATTTTATAGCAAAAATATACATAAACGATTATTTTTTAGGAAGTTGATAATGATGGGTACATGTTTTACAATAGGTATCAAAAATTACTACGGTCGTAGGCATATTTTGACACTCTTGGTGACAGTAGCTTCTTACCCGTGTCTTGCTGTTCACATGTGCCTGCTGCTGTAGAAGAAACTTCACCATTTTGATGTTTCCATAGTGACATGCCACATGAAGAGGTGTGTAGCCCATCTGAAAGTCAAAGTCCTCTGCTGAGTGATTGTGGAGAGATTGAATGTTACCATGATGGGCGTGTAACCGGCACAGCCTACCCGAGAGGCTGCATACACCGACGCGCCGTGCTTGACTAATGCGTCCGCGATTCCCACGTGTCCCTCCTGAGCAACGAGATGGAGCGGGGTCAGTCCACTCTGTAAAGGAGAATGACAGGTTTAGTTCTGATTTAGCACCATGCTAGTTGTTGTTTTGTCTACCTTGTTTCCCAGGTTAACATTGGCCTGTTTGGAGATGAGCAGAACCACCATGTCGGGCCTCCCCTCTTGAGATGCCAGGTGCAGGGGCGTGATGCCTTGGAGGGACTCGGAATTCGGCGAGGCCCCATTCTGCAGCAGACAACTGGCCACCTCCATCTGGTTCTGTTTGGCCGCGATGTGCAAAGGAGTGTAACCATTCTGGAAACAAGCACAAAAACAACATTTGATTTCGTCTCAGTGATTTATAGAAGCTATGTAAGTAACACAATGTTCTTTAGTGTAAGAGTTGGCTTGTTGTGTTTCCCAGAAAACACTGAAGCAGAGTCCATTGACTTATCTTACTCGAGCAGTGCTGTGTGCCGATCCTCCATTGCTGACCAGTAGCATGACAACATCCAGGTTGTTGTGATGGACGGCCACATGCAGTGGTGCCAGACCATTCTGTTGAACACACAGACGCATACGCACATATAAAAGCCCTCCTCAATTGGGCCGGAACACATAAATAGCAAGAACAACAACACACAACATACACACACATTTATGTGCGGGACGACATTTGCTAAATCAAAATATACAGTTCTCACCTTTCCAGCTGCATTTGGGTTTGCTCCTCTTTCAAGAAGCAGCTCAGCCACATCCACTTTTCCATATTTAGAGGCTACATGGAGAGGAGTAAATCCTTTCTGTGGATGTGGAAGAGCAGTGTTAATATTTAATTCCATGTGCATAATGTGGTCCTTGCTATTCCAAAGTCTCTCTATTCCCTCTATGGAGAGGGGAGGTTACAGATACCTGGCCATACTGAACCTAATGCCAGCTCCTATGAATATGACGCGAGGACCAGGCTCATCCTGAATGAAGCATCTTCTATCCCCCTGCTCTACAACTATCTGCAAATGGTTGTGTCAGTTTGAGGTACAATAACAGCCTGCCGCCTACACAGGCACCCAGCTATATTTATGAACTTTTAACCCCCTACGAGCCTTAGATCCTCGGGCAGGTCCCTGTTGACTGTTCCAAGGTCGAGGCTCCGAGCCTACTCTGTCCGGGCTCCTCGGCTTTGGAACCACCTGCCCGAGGAGATAAGGCATCATCGGTGTCCTCTTTTAAATCACTTCTTAAAACCCACTTTTATCGAACAGCTTTTAACTGCTAGTTTTAAACTTCACATGCTGTATTTTAATGTCTGCTTTGTCTTTGTTGTGTCTCTCTTCTTGTGTTTTTCTCTGTCTGATTTTTTTTCCTGTATCTATTGTGTCTAATTATTTTGACTTTGTATAATGACTGTTTTATTGTTTCATCAGTATCATGCTGACTGTGCAGCGCTTTGTAAACATTGTTTTTAAATGTGCTATACAAATAAAGATTATTATTTTTATTATTATGAGTTGATCTCTTCTTCATTGTAGTTTTTCTTGGTTTATTATTCTTGTTTTTTTGAATTAAAGTTTAAGGGTATGGGATGCCCTGACATATGTGAAACAAATAGAATAAAATTATGCATCCATGAAACTTTGATATGAATCCATGAACTATAGAATATATGCTGTGTTTGCAGAACCATTCTATATTCTTTGAATCACCATGGATACCTTTGTCATCTTGACCTGCTGTGCTCCTGCGTCCAGCAGTATTCTGATTGTGTGGATGTGTCCTTCCCGGGCTGCGATGTGCAGAGGCGTGTGTCCTGCAGTGGTTGCAGAGTCAGGACTGGCCTTGTGTTCCAGGAGCAGCTTCACTAGCTCCTTATGTCCCATACGGGCAGCACAGTGCAGGGGCGTCTGGTCATCCTGGCAACAAGTACAATGTAGTATTTTAAGAATTACTGTATACATTATATATGTGTTGAGTTCAAAATGGGTAAAAATACATATTTTTCCTGCATTACCTTTGCCTTTGCATCTACTTGTGCTGCATTTTGTAACAAAAACTGGGCAACTTCACAGTGTCCTGCCCTTGAGGCCATGTGAAGTGGTGTTTCCACTTTCTAATGAGAACAAGAATTTACAGATTCAAAATGTTCTAAATTATGTTCCAGATATACAGGTACAGTAGACAGAAAGTTGTAAACATATATTCAAACAAGAATATACATAAAAACTATTTGCTGCTCACCACATTGGAAGCATTTGGTGATGCTCCTCTGTGGAGCAGATTTTTAACTATGTTCAGGTGGCCCATGAAAGCTGCTACATGAAGAGGCGTGAGACCGGACTGCACATATGGACAGATTTGTTCAGACTACACAATACCAACACTTATCACTTCATTTCAGATCTTAGTCAGTCATTACCTCTGTGACTGCTTCTAACGACGCAGAGTGCTTAAGCAGGAGGTCCATAGACCGCATATGGTTTTTCTTGCAAGCAATATGTAGAGGTGTAAAGCCATTCTGAAAATAATCATGTATGCAAAACATGTATCTTTTTGGAGTGTTATAATTCTGATTAAAATATCACTTACCAGAGCCCGTGCATTAGCTTTGGCTCCCTTGTCAAGAAGGACTTTGGCCATGCGGTGGTGGCCACAATGGGCTGCTACATGAAGAGGAGTTAAATGGTCCAGTGTGATATCATCTATTTCAGCATTGAATTGAAGAAGCTGCCTAACACAATCCATGTGATCCCCTTGAGCTGCCATGTGGATGGGGGATAACCCATTCTGCACAAGAGAGAGACAACACAGGATTAGACAGACACAATGATTGATCTGAAGAACCTCTGTGTGAACGTAAAGTGAGGAACAGGCTGAACATAAAACACATCATGGATTACTTATCAGATATTTATTACCTTTGTTTTTGCCTGAAGTGGAGCGCCATGTTCCATGAGAATCTCAATAATACGAACATGACCATTCCTGGCCGCACAGTGCAGAGGAGTGAGCTCGTCCTAAACAGAAGAAATTGGATTCTTTCATAGTGACGAATAAATCCCAAAGAGAAAATAAAAGTAAAGCAAATGAATAAATACCTTTGTTTTTGCATCAATCTGTGCCCCTCTGTCCAGCAGGAGTCGGACCATCATCATGTTGCCTCTTCGTGCAGCTATATGAAGAGGTGTGATGCCGTTCTAAAGGAGAAACATGAAGATAAATATTTTATTGCAGTGGTTTTTATAGACTCACATCTCATTTTTCATGGTTTATTCTAATTTCATAGTTACAATTGGCAGTAACTACGTGAAGAATATTAGGTGGATAAAAAACAAGCACTCAACAGCCAAGGAATGTGCAAGTTCAAAATTAAGATGAATTAATATTTTTTATACACATTTGTTTCTAGCACACAGAGCTACAATTTCACCTATATCAACAATGCAATTATTGAAAACTTCCCATATTATTATAAAATATATGTATTTTCTGTTATTTATTTGTATCTATTTAACAAAAAAAAAACATACACATGTGAGAAGCTCTAAATAGACGTTTTCAATAAATACACACATACTATTGAGTAAGTAAACTCACCTTAGGAGTAAAATTAACATTTGCCCCTCTATTGATCAACAACTGGGCAACACTCATGTTCTCGTAGTGGGCTGCGATATGGAGCGGGGTAAAACCGGTCTGGAAGAAGAAACTCTGTTAATTTTGTTTTACGTTAGGCTTTGCATTCCCACTGTCTGCGATATCATTACCTTGCTGAGAACATCTGGGTTGGGGTCATTTTGCAGGAGAACAGCAGCCGTGCGCGTGTCGTCGTTGCGGGCCGCGATATGCAGTGCTGGGAGCCGAACTTTGCCTTTGGTGCCGTAATTGATGAGCAGGGCCACCACGTTTTCATGGCCTTGTTGGAGCGCTACAGCCAAGGGAGTGAAGCCGTCCTGAGGGGGCCGTAATGAGGAGAATACAATTATGTTTGATTAGATTCGAGAGATTCATTGTAAGAGGAAACATTAAGAGGAAGTGAGCAGCATGAAACTGAGCAACAAAGATATTTTAATATAAAATAAATCGTCAACTGTGGTACATTTTATACTATAACTCTGCTACTACTGAGAACACATATCATGGACACTATATTGATGGATTGAGTGTGCTTTCCAGGGTTAAGGGGCAACTCGGGCATAAAAGGGACAAGTTGAATATTCTTGTTACGCGTTGGAAACAATTACAAAACTGTATAATTCTTCTACCCTTTTCAAATGTCTTTTCTTCTTCTTTTTAGATCTTTGAATTTCCACAAACATACATACTATATATAAGCTCAATAGTGTTGCTCTTTTATAACTGCCTTCTAATTGCTGAAACGTACTATAAGCAGAATTATACATATATACTCTACAATTCAGTATATAAATTAGTGATTTCAGAAAAAAATGGCTATGAAAATGTACAGATATTGAACTATGTACAGATACTAAACTACTACTAATCATAAAGCCATGTAACTAGATCCTTGCGCTCAATACGGTTCACCAGTATTCATATAAATGCAGTTTGGTTTGCATTTTCAGTGAATCAGTTCTACGTACATACATCAGTGTGGTCTGATTTTTCTCCAAAATGTCACTTAAACCATTCTCTTTCTCCTGGGACAACCAAAATGTATTTATGAAACAATTGGTTTTGGTATGGATTTAGACTGTATACTTTCTAATTCAAGCATTCAAGCAAACTCTTCATGTCAGATCCCTATCTGAGGTGATAATTACAAACTCTAGGTAGTGAGAGAAAAGTCACACCTCTGTTGGGAGACTCTGATTGGCCCCGTTCTCAAGCAGGAACTTCACCACCTCCAGATGATTTTCCTGTGCTGCCATGTACAGCGGACTAAAGCCTTTCTGTTGGAACAAAAAGCCAAAAATCACATATAATAATAATAATAATGCATACGTTTTATATACAGACGCTTTACATGTCATTATTCTTTCACGTCATACACAGTGGTGATAAACTACTACTGTAGCCACAGCTGCCCTGGGGCAGACTGACAGAAGTGAGGCAACCAGTCTGTGCCATCGGCCCCTCCGACCATCACCAACCATTCACACACACACCAGACTCATTCTAGGCAAAGGGGATAAAGTGTCTTGCCTAAGGACACAATGGCAGTTTGGCACTTTACAGCCGCAGCCGCCCCACTGTGGCATCAGGTGTTCCCAGAGGTGAAGTGTCTTGCCAAGGAGACACAGCAGACATCAGTGGGAGTCGGTGGTGAGAGTCGGGCTCGAACCCACGATCTTTTGGCTCAAAGGCCAATGCTCTACCAACTGAGCTACTGTCGCCCATATAATTGGGGCACATACAAATAGAGCACAGATATACATTATGTTTTATCTATTTGGTTGGGACAGTGCATGTTATAGAACACACCTCTCCGGATTGTGGCCTTGGGCTAAATTTCATTCGTTGTCCCATAGTCGCACTCACAAACATACACTCTGAAATATTTCAGAGTGCTGTGCATACAATTTGAGCCGCCTTATGTATGAATTGTGCTATACAGAAAACTTGCCTTGCCTTAATGATTAGATTGACTGGACTTTTGTTGGAATCTTTAAATATGTTAATATATAAAATGTCCAAAAATTCATAAAAACAGTAGCCTGAAGAGTCTTGCCTCAAAACAACTAAACAACGTCAGCCTGTTTGACTTTTAGGTATTTCATGCAACTGTGGTTAAAGTTATAACTCATCATTCTAACAATATGCACAAGCCAGTACTTTTCCACAGCATGTTTTGATTTCTGAAGGCCAAGCTACTGGTATCACGGCGAAAGCTGATTGGACGGTGTTCATTCCTCTACGCTGTATATTATCACTTGCTGTCTGTAACATCCTTGTCCGTGTTCGTGCTGTCTCTACCAACGACAATAAAACTTGTCTTCTGTCTGAATTAAAGACACAATCCCAGACTTTGTCATCTTCTTCAGACTCACGTGGGATTGTGCGTTAACGTTGGCGCCATAGTGGGCCAGTTCTGCCACCACTTTCTCCTGTCCGGCCAGCGCTGCTATATGAAGAGCTGTGTTTCCTTTCTGTAAACCACACATGTGACAAAATCAGAGCCGAAACACTGTTATAGGCATCTTCTCTCAACTTATGTTTTCCATTTAGAATCAGAAAAGTGAAGGGTCGTACCTTTGTGGTGGCTTCAAGTTCAATTCCAGAATGTAAAAGCTCCAGGACCATTTTCACGTGGCCTTCTTTAGAGGCCAAGTGCAACCCATTTAGACCATTCTGAAACAGAGAATAAACACTTTTGTTATATGACAAATAAAATATATGAAAAAGAACATTGTGAGGGGAAGTGTGCAGTGCAATATCAGGGCTGGTTATATTGATGCAATTAACCATGGAACTATAGATTTGTTATGCATATTTTGAGAGAATGGTCAATGAAACTATTCTGAAACCATTCTTTTCTAAATCATACAATCATATTTAGTTGATGCTGCATATAGGCAACATACATATTACATCAGGCATATTTTTCATGACTATATAAATCTGAACCAGTCTCTTAAAATGTGTATCCCTATTCTTTTTACACTATCTTTTTTTAAATATACAAAGCTTGAAAGTTTACAACAACAAATTCAGAGATTATGATAATGCAACAACTAATTTTGTCAAAATATATGCAGCCCTTGTTTTAATATAATTGTGTGTATTGTATAATTATGTGTTATTGTGAGAAGCCACATCATAACCATGAAGAAAATGAAAGTGACTTGCAATACCCCATGTGGCCAGAAGGGGTCACACTTTCCTACGGCTAGAGCAGAATCATACTGCAGTGTCACTCAATTCAAATGGATCGCACAACCTCGTTCTGGGCATGCGCAGTGTGCCGGGATCCTCACCAGAGAGTCTGCATGTTACAGCAGTGATTTAAGGGGTGAATATGTAACACAAAATCCAGATGGTCAAATATTTTAGTAAGTTAAATGTGAATAGGAACAGGAAAAGTAACTATATATATATTTGAATGATTATTGTGAGGATAAAGGACACAAGTAGCTGAGCAAGAGTGAATCAAAAAAGGGAGTGTCATGCGGGACATACAGCAACTCGCAAGGGTCATTTGGTGCAGTATCAAAGTAACTGCGTAAAATCAAAGCGTCCTTTCTGTGAGCTATCAGGAAAAAGGCAAGAAAAATGCAATAATTCCCTAGTGTAAATATTATATGCTTACATGTTTATATGTTTAACCATAGAAAATACAACATCAATCAATTCCAATGTCAGATTATCATTCGCAGATTTCAGATGCAAAAATTGAAATTCTGTAGTTATCTTTGTGACACTGACAAAATGGCAAGACTATAGGTGAGGTTCAAAGTCCTTAATGGTCCTACTGGGAAATTATTATTGCAGTTCTATTGCCATTTTAACTTATATTTTCCATGCAAATTCAACAAAATACACTTGTCACTTTTATTACAATTACAATACCATAAGGTGTAATAAAATGAGAAGGACACTGGATTGATGAAAGTATAATCTAAGTCGTTAATTATTTATGTGCACCACTTTACCCAAAGACAGAGAATTATGGGGGATAGATGTCATGCATTTTTAATCCCCTTTTTGGTCTTTAATTTTACATCCCTGACTAGAGCACCACTGGGAGCATCTCTGAGTACCATGACAGTGGAGGCTTATAATGTGCTGTTTAAAAAATACACTTTGCTGCTTTGTCACCTTACAAAGTTAACCACTTCTATAAATCAAGAAATAATGTATTTTTTAATTTGTGATTGTTTAGTCTGAATTTATAATAACCAGAGGAATGGATGCAGAGGAATGGATATTATAGTCCAAGAATATAAGGATACTTCCTATCTCAATGTATAGATGCAAGAAAGTTTACTTCATTCATTCTTACTCCTTATAAATGTGAACAAGGCAATTAACATCTGACAGAATACAAAATTGAAGCCTTCTGTTTTCCAATGTATGGCTGAAAACATGCTTTAAATGTAACTCCTGTACATGAATGAACTGCCTATCAGCAACAAAACCTCACTAGTAAAAGTACATTATGTTGTCATTAGTGCTTTGAAGGTCAAACGGAACACTTTCAGGATATAATAAGCATCTTGAGAACTTGGAAGTGCAATCCAGTCAGGTTTTATTTTGTAATTGTCACCCCTGGAGTTCTACTTCCTGTTGTTTAAGTATCTGCCCTGCCCTCATGCGTTTCACCTTTTATATCCGTACCAGTTGATATTAGTCTTCAACACAAACTCAAAAGGGAAAACAAAAAGGCCGACTCAATTTCTTATACAAAAACTGATTGATGAACATTTTGAGCATTTTCTTTTTAACGGATCGATCTAAAAGATCCTGTGAGTGAGTGTACTAGTTCTGCCTTTTATAATACCAGAGCTTGACATATGTAGCAGTGAAGAGAAGATTAACAAATCTTTGAAATGGGTTGAAATAACTTTGCAGCACTCAAGTATCATTATAGCTTCTGATAGTTTATCTGCCTTTTAAAGCATTCAATCTGGGAAATATATCTGTAGACCAGACATTCTCTATTGTATATTTTCTGTGATGCTTTCTATGTATAGTATTGGATAGGATGTTGGAGTGTCATTTATTTGGGTTCCTGCCATGTTGGAGTAGATGGCGATAAAGTGGTCAATATGCTTGCTAAGGATGCTTTGAAATCCATCCATCCATCCATTTTCTTACGCTTCATCCGTTGCCGGGTCGCGGGGGCAGCAGTCTAAGCAGAGATGCCCAGACTTCCCTATCCACACACACTTCCTCCAGCTCATCCGGGGGACCCTAAAACGTTCCCAGGCCAGCTGAGAGACATAGTCCCTCCAGCGTGTCCTGGGTCTTCCCCGGGGCCTCCTCCCAGTGGGACGTGCCCGAAACACCTCCCCAGGGAGGCGTCCAGGAGGCATCCTGAACAGATGCCCGAGCCACCTCAACTGGTTCCTCTCGATTTGGAGGAGCAGTGGCTCTACTCAGAGCTCCTCACGTGTGACTGAGCTCCTCACCCTATCTCTAAGGGAGCGCCCAGCCACTCTGCGGAGGAAGCTCATTTCGACCGTTTATATCTGCGATCTCGTTCTTTCGGTCACTACCCAAAGCTCATGACCATAGGTGAGGGAGGGGACGAAGATTAGAGTTTCGTTCGGGCCTGAAAAATCAAGCCCGAGCCCATATAAGCCCGACCAATTAAGGTTGTATAATAGGCCCGAGCCCAACAGAAGCCCGACACATCTGATTTCCCTTGTTGTACGCACTCACCTTCCAATTGCAAGTTTAGCCACTTCTGAATGTGTTTTGTACGTCCACCTGATCCATTTCTGTTAATGTTCCGTGTGTTCGCTGTTGACCGTAGCATTCAACAGGAAAAACAGGGATGATGCGTTCACGGCTTGCTGCGGCTGTAGGACACGCCGGTTACGGTGATAAATATATCAACTTTTTTAATAACTTGTTGTCAATCAACGGACATTATTATTAATAAATACATATATGCATATCATTATGTATGAAAATCATAAATAATAAAAAAATATTGATTAAAAAAAATAAAAAAAGGAAAAATAAAAAGGAGCCCGAGCCCGGAACGGCCCGACTGCTGAGCGCTGAAGTGAGGCCCAAGCCCGGCCCGTACTCGGGTCGGGCTCGGGCCTGCTCAGGCTCGGGCTGAAAAGTGAAACTCTAACGAAGATTGACCGGTAAATCGAGAGATGCGGTCCAATACAGCGACCGCATCACTGCGCACGCTGCACCGATCCGCCCGTCAATTTCACGCTCCATCCTTCCCTCACTCATGAACAAGACCCCGAGATACTTGAACTCCTCCACTTGAGGAAGGACCTCTCCACCCACCTGGAGAGGGCAGGGCAACTTTTTCCGGCTGAGCACCATGGCCTCGGATTTGGAGGTGCTGATTCTCATCCCAGCCGCTTCACACTCGGCTGCAAACCGCCCCAGTGCATGCTGCAGGTCCTGGTTTGTTGGAGCCAACAGGACAACATCGTCCGCAAACAGCAGAGATGAAATCCTGTGGTCTCCGAACCGGACCCCCTCCTGCCCCTGGCTGCTTTGAAATACCCTTCGGTTAATATAAATCAGACGATATATCAGTAAATTAGAAGTCAAACCTATAATAATAAAGCATGTGAAGAAGGTATGGCAGGAATATTGGGACATCTGTGATACTGGACGTCATCTATGTGATATACAGCGGAATGTGGGTCCATAAAAATCTCGAGGCAGCAGCACAAAGGATGAGAGAGCATTCACACGTTTGAGAATAGGTCACACAAGTCGAGTTTGTAATCAAACCCTCTGTAGTCCTTTACCCTCTATTCCGTCATTGTCTATATCATGTCTCTTTCAGTTTTTTGTCTTTGCCCCTATTTGGAGGCAGTTCGGCATCTATGGTTCCTCTTCGTTTGAAGCGTGACAAATATATATGATATAATATACATATATATGATATAATATACATATATGATATAATATACATATATATATATATATATATATATATATATATATATATATATATATATATATATATATATATTAGGGTGTTTCTTATTTTTGAAGATTCAATTTTTGCATGGGCCACCCTGCCATTTGGTTCATTATCACAAAAAAGTAATACCCTATATATTTTTTTTTTTTTTAGAATGATTTTTAGGGGTCGCTACCGACCCTACAGTATCATGTGCATGTGCTTTGATACTACTGCAGCCAATACTGGGCCAAGAAATGGGGCTTGCATTCTTCTAGAGCAGAAGTTTGGGAAAGATATGTTGTGGTTGGCATGTCGTCATCACATTCTGGAAATTATTTTGGAAGCAGTAGTTTTGCTGTGTCTCGGCCCTTCAAGTGGACCTGACATACCACTCTTGCAAAGATTTCAGAAAAGTTGGGTCTCAATTGATTCTACAAAGTACCACACAGCACAGTCTGATAAGAACGCTTCAAATGCTCTTACCGATATCACTGATGAAAGAATCGTCTTTTGCAAAGATCAACTACAAATCTTTCAACCTCGTGACGACTACCAAGAACTTTTGGAGTTGTCTATTGTTTTTTTGGGAGGAGTACCTTTGAGGGGCATTTCATTTAGAGCTCCTGCCGGTCTACACCGTGCTCGCTGGATGGCGAAAGCTATTTATGCGTTGAAGATTTGAATGTTTAGAGACCAATTCAGGTTGACAATAAGAGAGCGAATGGGAACATGATGATGAGTTCAAGACTATAAAGTCCACTGTTCGAAGCATGAAGGTTGTCAACGACATTGCAGAACGTGGCGTAGCACTAATGGACGAATATAATAGACTACATACAAACAACGAAGAGCAAAAGCAGTTCCTGTTGTTGGTAGTTCACAAATATAGACAGAAATATCCTGACAGAAAAAAGACAACTCTCATGAGTGATTAATCTTAGTACAGTAACTATTGTCTTAAATAAACCTACAATCAAAGTAAAAAAGCATGTTAATTCTGTCTTTTAATAAATAAGTAGAAATGCAATGACAGAAAATGGATGTTTTTAATGCATGTAACAAGTAAATAAATGTGTACCAAGTAAATGAGTCATTATCACCAGTCTCCTTCAGTTTTATGATTTTTTTTCCTATGTTAATGACTACGAGCGCATAGTAAAATATGCCTTAAATTTCAATGACTGGTAGCACCCAGTAAAAATGTTTTTTTCCCCTTGAAATTTTTACACATTTATTTTCTCACCAAAATGAACCATTTCAGTGGGTGGCCCACTGAAAAACAATTTTTTTTTTTTTTTACCCCAAATAAGAAGCACCCTAATATATATATATATATATATATATATATATATATATATATTATTATTTTTCTTTTAAATTGTTGGTTACAACCACAAAACAAGCTCTTACCTGATTTGATAAATTGATGTCAATTCCATTTTTTATGTGGTCTAGAGCTTTGTCCAAGTTCCCTGAACGAGCTGCTCTCAAAAAGCTGGTAGTGGCGTCGGCCTGTAGAAAAAAGATGATATTTAGAACTGGAAATATAGAATTACAGTGTGAACTTTTGCTTCTGAATAGCATTAGCATAAATCAAGGAGTCCTTCTCAAATACTGGGCCCCATAACACGGTGTGATACACGGAAAATACACAGAACCTGCACTGCAACAAACAGACCTTCATTTGGCGAGCCTCAAGATGTCTCAATGTCTCACCCCTCGTCTCCTCCTGAAACTAATCTAAAACTCATCAAATTAAAGCTGGGTTACGTAACTTTTTTTAAATTCCAGTAGTAATGCAAGAGTAAAATGTGAGAGGGACTCAGACCATAACAGGCTTCACTTGCAGTTATACAGTAAGTAAATATTTGTAATACTTGCTCTGCAAGTAAAACTACAAAACTACATTACTGTCTTTGTGCTCCAAATATTAACCAAGAGAGACACATTCGTTGTCCAAGCAACTTCATTACCCCCACACACACAAACTAAACACACACCTCCAACTTAAGCAGGCACACCGCTGATCAGGGGGCGGCTCGATGCAAACGTTGCATCAAAGCGACGCAATCACACTGAGGCATGGTGTGTATGACAGCTTTCTATAGTCTATAACAAAGGGATTTATAGATGCAGTGAAAACATGTTAGCTGTGACAGGAGCTGAGGCAGGATGAGATGGAGGAGGGTGATATGCTGCAATGACCTCTGAACAGAACAGGTAAGGAGACAATAAAATAAATGAGAACGTATGGGCGGCACAAAGCACCGCACACACCACCACATTCTGAACGTGCCTAAGATGCTGTGGTAGTTGTTGTCTGCCCCCACACAACACAGCAGCGTGGCTTTGGTAGACATTCACACGAGCATACTCCAGCCACGAGTTCTGTCTGCTCTCAGAGGAACAGCTCCTGATGTTTGTACGCCCACCGCCTATTTCATTCATCAGCCTCTAGTGTAATGCGTCTGACCTGCACAATGAGACATCTGCAGCTCTGGAGGAAAAAAATATATAAAAGGTCTGCAAGGGTTCAATCCCCTCCTCAGGTTGTGATTTCTGTACATCAACATAGCCCTTTAGGCATCAAAGCAGCAGAATCTCCACATGAGCTCCAGAATCCAGAACACTTCCTTAATGGTGACCTGGATTTCCATAAACAATTCCCTACACTTTTTCTTAGATTCCGCCACCTTTTTGTCGGACAGAATTCAAATTGTTCTTCGAGTTGCAGGACATCACACCATGCTAACAGTTTCATTTGATTGAACAATGCACTTTTTGTTACAGTGACAATTGTACTTTTTACTGTCCTTTCACCATTTATACTGTGTTTTGTTTTCTCTGGTGCAAACTAGGTGCCTTTGGCCATTAAATGGAATCTTGAGCCTTTATAAAGGTTTAATCAAGTGAATAGAAAAAAAAATTGTTGAGACTTTTCTCTTGACCTGTTTTTCTTCGAAAAATCTTCATTAAAAAATCTGCTTAAGTGTTCAGTTCCTCAAAGCAAAATAAGTCATTCTTTATATTCTTTTTTTTTACAGGGGGTGAGGGGGCATCCCATTAGTGTGTGATCCATCTCATCTTAGCTTTGGAACTCAGAAGAGAGCTTCAGAGCGAGCAAAAGGACATCAAACACTTCAGCTCACTGACAGACTAGAGTCTTTACCACTATGTGTGGGCAGCATACAGAGTAGTTCTTATTTAACTTGAATAACTAAAAAAGGAAGGCAGAGCAGTATGGCAAAAGAAACATGTTTTTAACTGTAGTGGACGCTATAGTCACCGAACAACGCATGAAGAAGTTTCCAAGAGGATCATTGGCTTCACTGGAGCTGTATCTTGTTATAGTTTGTTATACATGTACTATATACCTGGGTGTCTCAAAATCATCATCATCTACTTGTTGCTCTTTAAGATCTATATTTTTTAGGGCTGTCAAAATAACTTGTGCACGCAAATACACCGCAGAAGTGTCCGTGTCTCCTCCTGAAACTAAACTAAACTAGCTAAATTAAAGCAGGGGTACGTACATTTTTCCCTTTCATTAACAGCTCATTTTGGTTGTGCCCAAAAGCAAAAGGTTGTGAGCAAATCAAACAGATTTAAGTACATTTGGTATGAATGACAATGTGTCATTACATTTGATAATCTCATTTAACTTCAATTGGAGTGGATTTGAAATAGAATGTTAAAAATGCAAATAATCGTGAGTTAACTCACCATTACTATGCGATTAATCAACTAAAAAATGTTTAATCGTTTGACAGCCCTAATAATTTTATTTAAATCATAATCATTCAAAATATGCCAATGGCTGTTATTTTATTTTCAGATAAATTGAGATTACGATTAAATATCTCATTTGTTTTGACAGACGGAAAATGTTCAAAGTGCATGTGGACAAACCAGATATGAGGGGAAACTGAACCTGAAAAAGAAGTTAAATAAGAGTAGACTTGCTTTTTCCATGATCAGATCTTATTTTGAAATATTCTAAATGCACGCACTTCCATTTGTTGTTTTCTGAGCTCTAAAGTCATTGCCGCCACTAAATGCATTTTTTTAAATTTAATTAATCCTGCAGCCCCAGAGATGTTCACAAGCCCCTTAAAGAGTAAGCAATTTATTTTGGTATAATAAAGCAACCATATTGAACATAACCTCTTACATTTGACCCTTCTCTTGTATGAACACTACAATTGGTTGATTGTCAAAACAAATCTATGATGACACACTAAAATAGTAAATTCAAACAGCGGATAAAGCCATTTTCACAAGAACACATGTAATGGAGGACTTTCAACCACTTTGAAATTCTCTCTGGTGTTTCGTGTAATGCAGAGTAAACACAGAGCAGAGCAGCGCACTCGCAGACTGCACTAAACACCTTACTGGGGAATCTCTCTCTGAATACGAGTAACACATTTCGAGCAAACATGACGCTAACTCAGACAGAGGGGGCTGATACATAGATACTGCAGCAGATAGAAAGGATCTGAAAATGTCTGAGTCAGAACGAAAAGATAATAATTCTCCACGAGTTTGAATTCTGCACTATGGCTTTCCTTTGACAAGTCACTGTCAGGGAGTTTGTCATGCATCAGGCTGACAGCAAGAGTCCTTCAGGATTTGGAAATGTTTTTGTGTCATGTCAAAAGACCAATTCACACAGTTCAGTCTGAGCCTCACTTCATTCTGTTGCTCTTTGTGCGGAAAACAAAACTTAATGCTATGATTACTACAATAAATAGCAAAAAGGTTTGTTGCCATCTGCATGTGAAAGCCTGATACTTGTCAGACCTCAGAAGAAAGGCATTTAGGGGCCGGGTGAGTTCTGTGATGGGAGACCTCTGGGTACATTAAGTGCTACGGTGGGGCAGCTGCGGCCGTAAAGTGCTAAACTATGATAATATTTTCTGTGTCACAGTTTTACTTCAGAGACCTCTTGCTATTGTGTCCTACAGAGTATGGGTCTGGCCTGTGCGTGTATACAGGTATGTGCCCGGACTGCATGTATAAAACCAATGCATTATTATGAAATATATAGACATAACTAAGTCATGTTCAGATTCAAAGTTTACCCTATACAGTCTTGCCATGGAAAGCACTTCTCTACACCGCTGCCCTGTAATAAAATGCACTGTACTCTTGTGAACTCTTTCACACACATTCATCTCATGAATAACAACAACATGGTCAGAGCTAAGATCAAAAACCTCTAATCTCAAAGCACTCCGTCCTGTTTGAATTAACTGATTAAAAGGCGAGGCAATTTATAAGAAACAACTCAGATTTTGTTCTTGAGGCTCAGAAAGGAGAACTAACACATTTTTGATCTTGGACCTGCAAACTCCATCAGACATTCTGCTATTTCCAAGTGATTCAACATAATTTGTTGCCATGAATATAAACAGCAGTGACACAGCACAGTGGAAATAATTCCTATATTTCTGAACTCTTGGGATGGAGAAAATATCTGATGCAAAGGAATACATTTACAACTTAGCAGTCACAATCTAAAACGAACCAATAAAAGCATAAAGTCAACTGCGATTTATATCATGAACAAAGTTCTGTTTAGCTAAAACTTAAACTTTAATGTACCAGTAATTTCTATGCGCTCCAAACAGAGTGATGACAGACGCCCAACGGAGGCACTTACCCTCACCATCCATCACTCACTCATTACATGTTGTACAGTACATGTTTTTAGCAGTAGGGGAAACTAGAGCCCCTGGAGGAAACCTTCTCTCTGGGAAGACAGGTCCTGTTCCAAGCGGTATTTGAATCCAGGACCTTTTAAGCACAAGTGCACTGTGTCACCTACAGTAAGACTAAGTGCTACCAAGAGCAGCAGTTTATATGTTTTCAGTGTCCAGGAAGCAGCTATAAACAAGATCCTATCCCTCACTCTGGAGCAGCTGCAGGACCAGGCCTCAAAAGGATCCCGCAGGCAGGGAAGAGATCTCAAAGCAGACAAATGGCAGCAATGCAACAAAGACAACCCATTTATTTTATTAGTGAGCACATTTCAACATGATCTGGTTCAAATATTAAGTGATTTGTCACTGGAGTTCCATTAAGAGGACATCATTGACTTTCTTGGAGACAAGGGAAAAAAAAGAGTAGCAGGTCAAAACATAGATTGTAATGAAACGTAAGCCTTAAACAGAGAGGGTTTAACTGAAATAAGATGAATGACTAAATTAAATTACAAAAAATAAGCATTATTAGGCATGTGCAAAACATAGATAAAAAGATGTTCCCAGTTAGAATCAGTATTGATTGTTTAATGTTATTTTTTTTTCAACAATCAATCTTAAATAAATGGAAGACAAATGCACTGAACTTATTTTCTGTTCAAATGGGGCAGAGAATGGGGGGGGGGGATTTTTTTGTTTTCACCGAGTCGTATTGAATTGTTAAGAAATTATATATCATCTCAAATTGAAAGTCCCTTGTATACGTGTTGGCTGTGAAAGATTACCCAGCCCTAATTATGACAATGTTAATAAACTGATTAGAAATTTGCAATACTTCAGAGAATACAATTACAATCTACTTCACTACAATTTACTTTTTTTTAAAGGAATGATATGTTTGTAAAGTATACATACATCTATGAGCATATATGCACTGTGAGAGATGAAGTTATTGTTAGTGAAAAATCTATGCAGTCCTGTGAGAGTAAGTGATGGATGTGAGTAAGGAAGAGAGTTGTGAGAGAGTACTTTTGGGTGGAGAGAGACATTCAGTACTTGTACGCCAAAACATGAGATTAAATTAGTGCTGAAGTGTTAAAGAAAAACCACCGGGACACAAGGAGAAAGATGCAAACTCGGCACAGAAAGGCTGAGAGTGAGCGAAATACAAAAATATAACCTCCCAAGCGTCAAAAATGTGGCGGCATGGGTGTGGCATAAAGTAAACGAGAGACAAGAGTAAAGTGGACTGTATGTTGTGTAACGCAAAACTGTCATGAGGTCCAAAACAAACACGTATAACACCAGCAACTTGTTCAAACCTCTGAAAACTCACCACCACGCAGAGTATACCACCTTTGCTAGCACTGGAGAAAAACAACCAACTCTACAACATAGCCTTTGTACAGTATAGGACCGCGGCTCTTATTGTTGACTGTGAAAACAATTGCTAAAAAGTTTAATTGTTAAAGCATTGACATATAGTTAAAATGAGATTTAAACACATTTTAGATTTCAGTTGTATGAATTCACAGGGACAACACAATGCAGTACTCGTATCAGTATTCGGTATTGGCAAGTCACTCAAATTAAAGTACTTACTCTGACTCTGACGCTACACCACCTTCTGTCAAATTCGAGTTTTAGATAAGTTT